TCTATCGAGTGGTTTAAAAATTATTCACTAATTTTAAAAAGGAAGTAGAATAAAAATGAAAAAAAGGTAAATGAAACTATGAGTATATTATTGTATCTTATGTATCGTTAGAGTTAAAGTATTTAACAGAACCAAAACTTGACGACTAAATTGTCTCTGAATAATACGTACTGAATTATAATGTGAGTCACTGGTTGTGCGAAAACGACGCTAAAATGGGAATAGGACATTTGCTTTTTAGTGTTAAAAGGGTGGGAAATTGCTTTAAAATTTTCTCTTTTATGCTAGTTTTACCGTAAGAATATTCGAATGCTTCATTTTTTTTTATCTTGTTTGGTGGTCGGCTTGTCGAGGGACAGATTGTTGAGATGTCTCGTACGCTTAGCAAAATCCGGGGGCTAGGGAGGATGCCTGTTTAGACTGTCCACAGTCCCTTAGTTTTTCGTAAGATACCGTAAAATTCCGAAAATAAGCCCCGGGGCTTATATTTTTCAAAGGCCCTTTTTGAGGGGCTTATTTTTGGAGGGGCTTATATTCGGAGGGAAATTTGCGTTTCAAAATCGATTGGACTAGCCTTCTAGTTGGAAGTAAATTTACCGTTTTTGCTTTGTTTTACTTTGTATGTGAGAGCAATTTTCCAAGTACAAGCCCCTGGGGGGCTTATATTTGGAGGGGCGATTTAACGGAGGGTTTTTTGCGTTATCGGTTTAGTGGGCTTATTTTTGGAGGGGCTTATACACGGAGGGGCTTATTTTCGGAATTTTACGGTAATCAGGAACGAGCGTTTACCGTACGGGCAGCCATCTTGTTTTTTTAGTACCGAAGGGGCGGGCGTCCCGCCCTAAGTAGATTTGGCACTCAATCCATCTGGGATGGCCGCCGGTAACGCAAAGGGGTCCGCAAAGAGCTCAATCTCCGCGATCTGCCTTTTTTTAAGGTTGCAATAATTAAAAGAAAAATCCATGGGGCTAAACTACAGAATATCGGGCCACTAATATCTTTAATCAGGCAAGCTCGTTACTTGGTTTAGCTTGTTTGCCCCTTGGTAGTATATCAAGCTTGTTCTTTTGAGTCGGTTGCTTTTTGGTCACTGTCGTGGTCAATGTATGAAGTAAAAACTCATGCGGCTCATTTGTCTCGTCCACTTTGCTCCGTAGTCGTTCCCTCAGCAGAGCTGTGGATCAGTTGTGTGGGTCGTTTTCATATCCCCAGTAGCTTACCAAACGGATCAACAAAAGGGGTATACGGTCTGTCGGATATTTTCATGGCAAGAGTGGTTATATACGGTTTGTCGATCCGTACGGATCGAACAGATCGACAAAAGCGGTATACGGTCTGTAAAGAGTGTTTTACGGTCCGTAAATCGCATCTCATTAGTGGGACTTAGTGAGAACGAGGAATATTACACTTGGAGTGCGCCTTTCTTGGTTTTTCAGTTGCGCTTGTGTTGGTTTATGGTTTATAGAACGAGGAATTATTTGTGCAGAACGTACGGTCTGTTAACTGCTCTTAACGGTCCGTAACATTGCGGCAGTATTGGACATGACTGAGCTTACCCACTCAATTGGCATTTCAAGGAAAAAATATAATAAATCAGTCTTTCTATACCGCTGATATATTTTTACGATCGAATCACGTAAACGAAAAAAAAATTAAACCAACATAAAACTCATCTGTTAGCCCTTTTGGGCCTTTTTACCGATCTGAATGACAGATTTCAGGGTCTGAATGGGGCTACCTTGATAACACTTTTAAGTGTTAAAACACTTATTTTGTTTTGGCTCTGTAACGTGAAATAGTTAAAACACGTTCTAAAGTTAAACTTGATATTCTAAAGTAGTGATTTTCTGGAAAAATATAGCTGTTTCAATGAAGTTGTTACCAAACGTCCTCGTAAAGGAATGAATAATATTATGGGAATATTATAATTTAGAAATGCCTTACAGTTTACCACTTTTTTGTTTTATACTCTGTTAAAATTTAGCAGCCAAGGCATAATTCCCTCCAAAAGTAATTGGTTTTTTTGTTTAATATCTGGTCAAATTTAGTACTCAAAGCATAATTCCTCTAAAAGTGATTCATATAGTTTTATAACATAACGAAAGTAACACTCGTGCTCTGATTGGTCAGTGAGCCATCTACCATTTGCCTGTTGGTGCACGCTAAGAAAAGCCAGCGCGGCGCGGTAAAATTGAGGCGCAAATTCCGCAAATCTCCTCTCCTGCGCGCTTTAAAATGCACCGATGAAATATACAAATAAAGAGTGGAAGTTGAAGAAAATACCCAGCTTTCGTTTTGAAGGAAAGTGAAAGGCCCAAGCAACAAATTTGTCCCGGGGAAATTCATCATTGCTTTCTTCGTGGCTGGGAGCTGAAAAGAACAATCGAGTGAGCGAAGTTTTTCTAAGGATTTAAGCCCAAAATTTAAGGTACATTTTGTGTTTTTATAGTGGAAAAACATTCTGTTTTAAAATGGAATTGCATCAATTGGCATTGTGCTATCGAATTTTTAGTCAAGTCCATGTTAAATTCAAGCAAATATTTTTGGAAACGCGCTCAGATTCGAGACAGTTTTGTGGTCCATCATCACTGAACGTTTTTGATGATTTACTTTTTCATGCATAATGCGGGAACTGTAGAGCAAATATCATTAAATTTGAGTACAGAAACATATGGGTTGTCAAATAAATTTTTCCAAAAATAACGTCTCTGTTTATTTTATTTTTTTGTGTGTGTGTGTTCATTCATAACAGTAATTCAAAGAACGGCCGAAAGACAACAGCATCTAAATTGCTCACGCATTTCAGCACCGGCCGTGTCGGCGAATTTTTGCAATTTTGACTTCCAGCTCGATTTCCCCGGACAAATTTCGATAAGAAGCTAATTAATTTCCTTTAAAAATTAGTGTTACCTGTTATTCTTAATGAAATGCAATGATTTTTTTGTCATTGTCACTTAGATATTAGTTTACATCGCATAGTTTTTGAGTTTAATAGCTAAGTGTTTACAGTTGCAGCTATAGTTTTCCCCAAAACTGTTTACCTTAATATTAAGAGCACACAGACAGTCGCCATTCATGATAACAACAAGAAACGTTTTGCCATTTACCTTAAAACGGAGAACGGTTGATTCAGCGAAAGAAAAACTCAAAGGCCAGTTATAAAAGGAATGTTTTGTTTACGCGCGGGCAGGTGACAGCACACATCAACTTGTACAATACCGAAGACTGACTCAACGGAAGGCAAATGGAAACATTTTCTCCCTTGATTATGCTATAAAAGAAATGGTAAACATTGCAGCTGTGCAGCCATCGAGTTATGGATCCACTTGGGAGGTTTGTTAAGCACTCAAGAAGCTAGAGTTGCTCTCGGCTACACCTCGAGCAACTCAACGCTTCTTTCGTGCTTAGCAACCTCCCACATTCATCCATTACTCGATGGTTGCACGCTCGACGTTTACCATTTCTTAAGTGTTTTCTGCAGACAAACGGAAACTCAATGCATGGAAATGAAGGAATGTTCTTTCTGGAAAGGGACACGGAAATTTCAGAACACCTATACACACATCCGCCAAAAGGTACATGGAAACCTTTACGCAGATAACATGCAAAGGAACACGGAAATTCCCATGTACCTTCTTAGTCAGTGTGCAAGCGAGCACTAACGTACATAAAAATAAAGTGACCTGAAATAAGGAATCAATCGAGTCGAAATAAACTGTGACCACTCTTGATTTCATGGTTGTGTTTTCACCAGGCCGATTTACTAGCTGAAAATTATTTCTAGAGTTTGTTTTAAAACCGACTTTTACTCGTTAATAAGCTTGACAACTGTTTTCACTTTGAAATTTAACCGGCAATCTAAGCCTCTAACTCGGAGGTTCAAATTGCAAAAGCGGGCCATAATTAAAAAAGGCTGGGGAGGAAGCCCGGGGGTAACTTTAGGAATTTCGGGGTGGGGATGTGCCGTTGAGAGCCTGGAATTTTAGCCCATACCAGAGCTAGTTTACTAGACTAAACTCGCCAAATCCGTAAATTTAAACTTTCCGAATTGATATTTTTTTAGACTTTTGAGTGGCAATTCCCGGTTTCCTTATGGTCCTATGGGCCTAGTCTAGACGAAAATCTTCAACCAATTGATCAGTTTCCAGGAAAATGATACCCTATTCTAGACCCAAACTCTCTGATTTTTATACCCAGTCCTAGAGTAAACTGCTTTAAAACCACACCCTTTAGGGTGGCACATACCTATATAGCCCACATATGGCAGTTTACCCCCCCCGCCCACCTCCCCCAGGGGAAGCGCTTGTAATGATTTCTCTTGTGATTATCGTCGCCGAGGAGTCTTAAAAGGAGTCTTATTCAGCGAATGGGGCTTATATCCTTACGAATGAGGAGGATGCTACAAAATGTTTTTATTCTGTCAATCCAACAACGAAACAACATTCAACGCTGTAAGCGCAAGACCTGGCCGAAGAACTGGAGAAATCCAATGGGGTCGGTGGGATTGTAAATCGACAGAAATGATAGTTGCTGGGGATCGTTGCAATCGTTCGCCATGCTGAAGTTCTCGAGCTCAACCACGAGGCGATTGTCTGGCAAATAATATTAACAGATTATTTGGCAGGCGTCTGTCATAACGCGCGACAAAATTGGCTGCGTTATATCAGGACAAGTTATTTTCGCGCTACCGCAGAATACATATGTGCTCTATCTGAACAAAAACAAAAGCAAAAGCTATATTTGCGGATTCTTAACATAATCCGGGTTACAAATTAGAGTACGTTAAAATCAATTATTTTCATTTCCCATGCTTAAACAAAGGTAAAATGGCATAGAAATGAACACTCTCAAAGCAGTCTAGTTACTAAAGCGAAAAAAAATTGTCAAAAATATTGCTGAGAAAATAAGAAATCAATAGTGGCTTAATTCATGAATAAAATTAAATGTTATATGTATATATATATATATATATATATATATATGTATATAACATTTAATTTGCGTCAGAAATGTCACTGTTGTATCTGAATGTATCGATGAATTCACTATAACCGATGTCAAACGGTTATCGTGAAGTACACTGTACAATCATTTTACATTTAGATCTTGCTTAAAGACAATGTTAGAAAAATGTCACGTTATTGGTAGTACCTCTGACAATAAAACATTCCAGCATTGATCATTTACAGATATAAGAAGAACTAAAAAGCATAGAGTAAATATTTTTTGCACTGGTACGAATATGACCACTGAGGTCAGTAATACCCCGTAAATTTTTCATTTTCAGTGCAAGTTGTTATGTAAGGCACTCTTTTGCATGTTTTGCACTTAACATAGCAGCACCAATGAAAGTTGCAATTGCACCTATATTCCTCGACTTCGTACGCTACCGTTTTATATTTCAGTTTGCAAGAGTTGCACTTATCGATGAAAGACTGACATCTGGTTTCTTGGGCGTCGTAGTGCTTGCATGTTCTTCCCAGCATTCCCAGCGAGCCCAGGGTGTTGTTTGGTACACAGTAGTCCGGGGAGGGGTCGAGATAGACCAGCCTGTTGTCGTCATGTGAGATGGCTCTGAGCTGATCATGCTCAACTCGCTCCTGAAGTGTGTTATTCACGAACCACACTCGAGTGGCATTAAGGTATTTCTCCTTAAGCTTTGCCCCAACGTCTTCAAATCGCAGTATCCCCGGACGTTTCCACTTAAGATTCATGCGGCCTGCAAGCGCTCGAATAACCTGCACATAGAAAGAAGTGTAAGAAATGAACGCCGAAAGGTAAAGTAAGGTAAAGTCTGCGTTGTTCAAGCCAAGTGCCTCATTAAATAGGATAAGATGCTGCCAATGATAAAAGCAATTCTTTTAAAGCAATTGTAAATATGACATTCCTTATCAAGAGTTTGGTCGATGTAGACCAAGCATCTACCTAAATTTGATGTTACACGGGACGATTCGCGTCTACGATTTGTTGGAACAATGTTCTAACAATGTTCTTCGAAACAATGTTGCAACGCCGTGTTGCGCTAAAAATCATAGTTGCGAATCGTCTCGTGTAATATCACCTTAACACATGGGTTAAACACATATATTTAGAGACGTTTTGGTGTTGCAGTGGAGCTATCATAAAAATCCGCAAAAGGTTAATTCGATAAATCAGAAGATACCGTTAGGAAGCGAAACTAACGAGCAACTATTTGAGCAACACATACGTACGCAAAGCCGTATTTCACCCGGTCCAGTAAATTAAATAAATTAAGCCTGGGTAAGCTATGCAAGCTCGTACCACTGCTAAATATGGACAGCAGGAAACTATGCTACTCTGTGATATAATCCGTTGTGATAATACAGCGTGTACTCAAGATTTTATTGAATTATGCGTTTTCATAACGCAACTTTATTAATGCATAATTACCTCCCTTCCTACTCTATTGTTATGCCGATTCACAGCCGAGTAAGCCTCGTTCCCACTTTCCAGCTTGTCAAGGAAGAGTCGAGCCCTTTTCTGGCCAAATTCAACTGTATCCTTACACTGTGAATTTCTTCTGGATAATTTAATTTTTTCACAGTTGCGTGCGAATTCGAGAGCGATAGCAGCGGATCCAATTGCCTGCACAAATGCCATCTCTCGCGTGACTGTAATAAGAGAACAGTGAATTCATTGTTAAGGAAACGCTTATGTCTCAGTACCGAGTGGGAAGGATTCTCAACATTGGTTTCAGTACACGGCTTTCTATGCGGAAGGTTCCTTGTTCGATTCCCAAGTGTCACCCTTAAATCTTGTTCGGACATCCCTACTTTCCGAGTACCTTTTATAGTCAGGGTACTTAATTTCGGGATTTTGGCAAGACAATATTTCGCGGGTTTTTATTTCCACGCGGATTTCAATAGAAAAATATGAAGAGGGCATTAAATTTCGCGATTCAAGGGTTCTCAAAATGATTTTAGTTTTCAATCTTCTGGACTTTTAAAAATATCGAGACAAAATGAAACAAGCAAGACGCATATTGACGTCATGTCACAACAAAAGACATAGTTAGGGAATGGAACGTACCAGTAAAACCAGCTCATAACTTGTCGGTATTTGTCGACACATATCTCATGTAAAGTGTATCTTGTAGTTATTGAATTAATGGTAATCTTTATTTTTTTCCTTCTGTGATTTGAGCTTTCGCGAGGATTTTTATTCGCGGGTCTTTAAATTCGCGATTTTCCACAATCGCGAAAAACGCTAAATTAAGTATCAATAAGGTAGTTTTGAGCAGCTCAATCAGAACCGTAAAACAGTGCACTACTATGCTAGAGGGGGGGGAGGGAGGGGAAGGAGAGGGGGTGGAAGGACGGGATTTAAAATGAGCTCAAGGTCTGCCTCAGGCTGTCAGTCAAATGATGACGTGAAAGAAGAATTTTGAACCCCCTATTACCTTTTTAGGAGGAAGGGGCAAGGCATTGCTCATGCGCAGGCAGATGCAAATATGCAGCTTATGCTAATATAATGATATTATGTGTGTATGAGCTTGTGAAGTTCACAAGCTCATTACAATTCAAATACGGTAAGATCGAAATGATTTCTTTAATCTACTTAAGTTAAAAAAAAAAAACTATTGATTAAATATGTTAGCAAACTTTAAGTCAAAAAGATAAACCTTCGAAGAAGCTTAAAAACATCCTGTGACTTGATATTGTGAACAGGATGGTTACAACAAAGTCTTGATACGATAATCAGCTTGCTGAATCTTACCGAATGGTAACTTGGTATTAAGAAAGAGAGGCACTCCCTTTGGATTTTGTTCATCACTTATTGAGCAGTTCCAGATATTGTCCTTGAATTGCCTCTTGCATTCTCTCAGTGCTTGTCGAGCGCCTTCCAGTACGACACTTGAGAGCTTTTGATAAAGTAAAGTCACCAAATTAATATAGCTATCGTTATTGAGTTCTGAAAAAGCAAGAGGCTGCGCTGTACGAAAACAACTGCAATTTGTAACAGAAAACAATTTCGGGTAACCATTGCAAGAAGTATATCTTCTGACTGCACAAAAACAGATGTCAGGTGGTACTCAGTCTATAGCATTTCAAAATGTTGAAATCAAAATTATGGGATGAGCCACTGCTGAAACCACTTTGGACTCCATTTTGAAATTTCCCCAACTGATTTTTTAATCAGTTTATCTATTTACTTAACATAGAACATTTTTCACTTTTATAAGTAACAATTGTACCAAAAAATCACGTAAAATTAGAACAAATGGTTTGGTAAATTTATATCGTATTTGTTAGTTTTCTTGAGAAACAGCTAGTGATTCACAGATCCGCGTACAATCATTTGATCCAATTTTGGTGACCAAGGTGAGTTAGACTGATTTAGACCCTGTTACGAACGAGGACATTTTTCGTGCTTTTTTTTATGATCAGTATGTGGTAATCGCCTTTACTGTTTACTTTTAACTCTCTCTCTCTCTCTCTGGTTCCTGTGTAGGGTTATCTTTTAAGACTTTCAAAAAATAAAATCGGGCGATTCTAGAAATTGAAATAGCCCATGAGGGATCAACCAAATGATATTGGGTGTGACTCTTCGTAACACCCCTTCCATTCCCTCTCTATTCTGAAAGGTTATCGGCTAATTAAAGGCGTATTTATTACCCGAGACGTTTCTTCGTTGCTTTCCATAGTCCTGTAGTTGTATCTGTAATCAGAAATGTAGAGAATTTTGATAAATACACGAGGATATACACAATACTGTTGACGCACCTTCATCAATTGTTCCTCCACCAAAACTCAATTGCAAAGGGAGGGGTTGAGTCCTTGCAATTGTATTAGTAGCCTTCAACAAAGATTTCGTCCTCTGCAACGAGGTGAGCACCAACATTTCCAAAACACGCTCGCGTGGAAATGCAGTGTGGAGCCCGTGGGCTTCAAGCCCCATTAATTCTTTGATATAGAGTTGGGAAATCCGGCTGATTTGGAAGACCTATAGTCCTAGTTTAAGGCGGTACAACAGGAAACCCTGAAAGGAACAAAATCAAGCATTGCAGGTTTCTTTGGTAAGGGCTACAAATGGTGGATTTCATAAGGGGAATTTTGACATAAAAAAATAGAAGCCCAAAACAGCGCGTGATTAGAAGCTACGGCAAAGGGATTGCCCTATGTTCCATATCGGTTTTTGCCTCTTTAATCTTCTGAACATACAAACCGAAAAAAAAAATGTTGAGTGTCAAATCGTACCTTTCAATAATGAGGTGAGGCCTCTGACGACTTTCTAGAGGTGACCTGCCTGACTCCACCAGAAGCATCGACATCATACCAGCAAGAATCAATGAAAACAGCGCCATGTTTTGAGCAGTTCCACGACTCAATGAAGTTATTTGGTGCCGAACAATTGTCGGGCTACAAACTAGCTGTGAACGATTTGGTCTGCAGAGTTCGGCGACTGACGGTTCGATCAACAGACTTTGTAATTTATCAAGAAATGTTTTTGAATTGGTGCCAATTGATAGTTACTTATTCCAATCAGATCTCACCACCATTCATTACATGTCTAAGTGGTCACTTAACCTAATCCACCCAAATTTTTACCACATGTATCTACACCTATCGCTATCTATTGTATCCAGAACATCTTCGAGTCGTCCCAAATTTCGCGACATATTTGGTGCCTTAGATACTGCCAAGCAAAGGAAACCTAGTAATGAAGTTCTTTTAAATGGGCAAAAACAACATTTGGTCCACAGGTTCCAAAGTTTATGTGAACAATTTGCGTGCCTCCGATACGTGACTCTGGGGAATGAATGGGATTATCTTTGCCAACTCCCTTTCATCAGCTGAGAACATAATATGATAACGGGCAACAAAATGAGTAGATTTCCTGTTGCATTGAAGTTTTAAAAATCATCTTTAATGGAAAGTGTTTTAGAAGATCTGGTGTTTCCGGACTGGTAAAATCGCAATTTGGTCATCAATATGCTCGTTTTGAGGGAGGAGGGAGTGAGAGCTTATATTATATTTTTCCATCCATTTTGGAGCGGGCTGATTACCGAGAGTATAACCGATATCACAAATGCAGTTAGTGGAGGGTATTTAAATAGTTTTCGTAGGCCACCATTATCTCATAGCAAGTCTTTGGGCCAGTTTTAAAAATAGACTTCGTTTAAATAACCGACCCTTTAATTCTTAATAACTTAAACTTGCAATAGTATTTATATTTGCGTGCATAGCTGGGTTGGATAAGTATAAGTGGGTGAGTACTGTTCACTAGTCTTTTTGCGGAGTGGAACAGCTGGAAGACTAATTTATTGAAAACAAGTCAAATTTAACGCTGGGAATTTTAAATTACCTTTTTTAAGACTTCTATATCGATGAATCATTGTCCCCCTTTCCCAATCCCCTTTCCTCGATTTCCGTTCGAGTCACGTTTTAATTTTTTACAGATAACCGTCTCCAGATTGCTGCAAATGGGCGCAGTCGCCTCCTCACCTGAAAAGCACCTTACTGAAAATTAAGAATCAATCTTGAAGTGGATAGAGACAATAATGCTGTCTGAGTGGATTTCACACCTGCATTCAGGTTCAATGATCAGTGAATGATGAGTTCGAGTTTCGGAATGGATGAAAGGTTACGTTATGAGCTCCATTGACTTCTGCCTCAAATAGTATTTATTTTGACACTGCAGAGGATTTCCCATGAATGCTAAATTTCCGGCTATTCACAATTCACGCGATTAAGTTTTCTGTCAGCATGCTGTGAAAGGCTATGAAACAGGATTTCTGACAAGATTTTGTTTTCCTTTGTAACAAGATTTATTGTTTTACGTATATAATGACTCATTTCAAAAGAATCAAATATTTATAAATATCAGGTAAACGCAGCGCTGTTTCGTTCGACTTGGTCATCAAAGTAGCTCAAAGTCTGGGGTAAAAAATGATAGTGGAGGAGGTTTTTATTTTATTTTATTTTATTTTATTAAAAAAAAGAAAGATACAGGATAGTGAAACGATCATTGTTGTTGTTATTGTTCAGTTAGCATCGTGATTAATTTCATTTCGCGTATAGAATTACATTTTTTTAAAGAAACTTACAAAATGGAAATTGTTGGTACCACAATTAAAGTAGACCACTCATCGCCAACCTTCACATTCTTTTAAAGGCTTCCGGCGGTGACACCCTATTCAAGACGCTGAATTATTGAAATTGTATACCCTGTTGACCCCATTCGAATGTATTCGGACTGGGCTACCGTAACCCCGGGGTGCTTATTTAATTCAATCCCATTTGAGGGAGGTTGGGGGGGGCGGGGGGCAAAATAGAGACGGGAGGTTGAGAGGGGGCTTATCTAATTTAGAACAGTTGTCCGTAAAGACCTAGAATACAAAATGGAAAAGCTCAAGTACAAAAAGGTTTGAGGTCATGCAACCGGGGATCAGGATCAAATCCGAACTTCAAGTTCGTAAAGCAACCATCCCGGATCAGTCCACACGAAGATTGATTAATCAATCATTTCAGTATTAGTTAACGATAATTAGGGGAGGGGAGGGAAGGCGGGGCTTAATAGAGACGAGGGAGGTTTTCTACCCTGCAAAGGAGGAGGGTACAAATTAGAAGGAGGGGGCTTATTTGAGAGGGGGGCTTAATAGTGGATTTACGGTATCTTTTTGCGTTCTGCGAATCGGGGGTCCCCACTTCTAACTTCAAAACCGCTCCCGATACGGCCACCAAAATTTCACACAATGATGTACTCTCCGTTTCCAGCATCTAAGTATAACTTGATTGTCACAATGACGTAATTTGACACCATTTGACCACCACCAGCTGACCATTTGACGTGATATTGTTCAATTAATTAGCAAAAAATTCCCCTTAAAGCAGACATAAATCGAAAAAATTCAGACTGATTCACTGGTTTTGCACTGCTCCTCTCTCACTGCGCATAACAAGATGGCTGCCGTGAAAAAGAGCATCTAAAGTAACATTATTAAAATGAAGTTAACTAAAGAGAAACGCCATAAGAATTTTTGCCAGCGCTTGTTTCTTGCCAAAATGAGACTCTATGTGATGAGAATGTGCATAATGTAAGCAGTACGCGTGTTGCTTAGTTCGACTTCCTCACGGAGAACCTCGATAATAGAAGTTAAACTCCTGCTAACTCACTTTAATTTTCTTTTAAGTGCCATCTTTATCACATTGCGTCCTAACTGTGATATCTCGATGTAAATTCTGTAAAAACGGATTTTTTAACGCTTTCTTCAGTCCCCCTTCCACATACATGCCATTTTTTTAAAACTCGCCCCAGTCCTCTCTCAAATTACGAAAATTACGATTACGAGCGCGTGTCAAAATTAAGTCTAGTTTTGGGCTGCGCGGGGTTTTTGCCAAAGGGCCCTAAATAGTCGTATATGTCAGCATTGTGACGTCAAAACGAGCAGGGTGACCCCCACTTTTTATTACGTTTTTATCATCTTTTTGACTTGTTGCATCAGTGTGCCAAGTTTCATCTACATTCTATGTTAGGTTCTTTTACTAAGGAATCACCTTTTAAAAATAGTTATGTGACTGATAAAATCAAGAAGTTGGCTAACAAATACACAATCTTTAATGACGTCATTTATTGAAAAAAGTGGAACCAGAACCATCTGCCACCTGTAATCCGCCATTTTGAATTAATTAAATGTATTCCATTTTACTTCAGCCCCTATAAATTGAGGTACCCGTGATAGAAAATTTATCTGTCTATAAGAGAATGCTCAGGGAGCAAACACAAATCTGCAAGCTACGAAATTTCGAGATTAACACCGTTGTAAACTAAACTTATATAGTATCTGCCATTTGGTCGTCATTTAAATTAGCAGGAAATTAGTCACCACTATTGGACTGGATGACATCAGTTGTTAAATAAATTAGAGAAAATAATACTAAATTTAATGTTATATTAAAATTCAAGTAAATATAGAAAATAAAAACCTTTTTCATAGAAAAAAAAAATTAAGCTATATGCCTGTCAAACTAGCTCGGTTGCCATGGTTTCGTCAATGTTGACTTGCGCGACGCGACGACTTTTTGAAAACGCTTCCAGCTAAGTTTCAGGAAAAGTCGTTACGTTTGGTGGTCATAGCGAGAATGGTTTTGAATTCAGATAGTATCAAGAGAGGATAAAGGGGACAGAGAAGGCATCCCCCATACATACCCTATTCCATAGGTAATTCGTCTCGAGCAAGAGACTATAAAGGGGACAGAGAGGGCATCACCCATATACACCCTATTCCATAGGTAATTCGTCTCGAGTTATTTTTAGAATCGGGATAAAGTTACCTCGCGCGCTGCGTGGATGTTTCGTGGAGGTTTCGCATGACCAAACGCCATGCAAAACATGTCGGGAGAAAGGCAATGAAAGCGTAAAGAGATCGAGAGCATTTCTGAATATTGAAGCGAAATGAGTCGGCGCTCAACTGGGAAAAGGGAATCGCTCGACTCTTTGACAACCCGTGAAATCAGTTTAACTCGAAGTTATCGTAACCTCAGTGCTTTAATAAAATGAGAAATTTCGCCGGTCTATTGAAACCGGTCGTTTGTACAAAAGCAAGTAGCAAGTAATATTCATGTACAAGTAATTAGTTTTACAAATTTGAATTCTTTTCTAGTTTTTTTAAGTTGTTAAGCGCTGTTCTGAATGTAAATAGCGCTCTAGAAATTATTAAGTTATTATTATTATTATTATAGGACACCAAGTGTTATTTTTGTTGAATAATAAACTAATAAAAGAATAAATATCAAACCAGAAATTGCTCTCTTCAAACTGTAAATTATAAATGATCCTGAGAGAATATTCACTGTGTTAAGGATTTCCCTGCTGTACAGTTAGCTCTATACAAGAGAGAAAGGGCGATTCTTTTTTAATTTCCCTTTCGCTGACACAGCTTTAGCAGAAGTCTATCTTTAGTCGTTTTCGTCTACAAAACGAATAGCAATATTGCTCTCCGCGTCTTCCGCCATTTTTTTCTGCCTCAATTCGTGAAGGACGCGTGGCTCTGGTCGTGGGTCATCCACGCGGAACACATTCGCGCTATGTGATTGGCTGTTGTCTAATCCCCCTTGGGATCTGTGGTCTTAAAAATAACTCGAGACTAATTACCTGTGGAATATCGAATAGGGTGTGTATGGAGGATGCCTTCTAGCTTCTCTGTCCTCTTTATCCTGTCTTGGATAGTATGGATGACGCGAAAGTCAAAGGCACACGAAAATATGAGGACGTGATCTGGGAAAAGGGGAGCGTTTTTTATTTTTTTTTTCGTGTTTGCGCTTTCTCAATATTGAGGACCCGGAACAAGCTAGTTCAGCACACACTAACCTCGTTACTAAGGTCCTTTCTAGCCTGTTCCAGGCGTTCAGATAGCAGAGAGCAGGAGAAAAATTCACGAAGATAAAAAAAACGAGGGGAGACTAGAGGGGGAAAGGGGGAGAGAACTCTCGCCCTCGATCCCCTGTCCCCCCCCCCCGTTTTTTCGGTGTACAACTTAACTCGCTCCCCACTTACCGCCGCGCTCTACTATCTGAACACCTGGAACAGGCTAGGTCCTTTCCTACTCCTCCACCTCTCACGCTCCAAGGAACAGGTGGGAGCAAGAGGGGTGGGGCATATAGTATTTGCAGGAGCCTATCACCCGGAGCCCACATCTCCCACTTTGACCGTATGACACAGCGCATTTACACTTTGGGCTATTTTTGGAATTAAATTTACCGCTAAAGGTATGACGTATGTAGCACTCCCTTTTGCCGCCCACACATTTCCACCAATCATCTTTTTGTTTTTGGCTTAGTGGTCAATAACGCATTCCGTAACTGAAAAATAAAAAGGCCGCTTAGGGAAAAAACAAAAAGATGATTCCAACGCAAGTGATAGGCTCCTGGTATTTGGACCATACAAGGGCTCTAGCCCTCCCCCAAGGCTACAGGCACTTTATATTGTGCCTGAATTTTTTTGTTTTTGTTTTGGATCACCTTCTTAGAATTTCCGCCACAAAAAGATTTTGAAGTGCTCTTCTTACCCGGCCTTTAAAAGTCAGTCGTTGACTGGGGAAGACCCATGAAAGCAATTACGACAGTCGACAACAGGGATTTCGAAATCAGATATCGTCATATCACATGTTAGTGAAAGAAAATACTTTCAACAAGCCAACAGAAGGGTTAGCAGAATCTAGTGAGTTATTTGGCACACAGTCAAATGTACCCCGAGAAAAGAGTCATTTGGCAGTACCTCCTAGTCGGCTAAGACGTTTAGAGTGAGAATCGTATGAAGAATTCCTAAATCGCTACACCTCTGATCGTGTAATGTTGTCTGCAGGTTTCTTTCTTTTTTTAACTCTCTTGGCCTCGCAGGATCCGGTAGACGCATCCCTGTGGCCAAAGTTGTCAGGAGCCAGACGCTTTCTCGATCAGATCTTCTGGGGAAACTGTCATCCGTTCTTAAATACGAAGTAAGTTAAGAAGCTTTTATAAGTTACTGATGCATACCTTGCCAGAAATTTTGACTTTTATGCTTTCTGCGTACCATGTTAAAAGAAGAACGCAGTGCAGGTAATCGCATACCAATGTTAACGCCAAATCCTTTCGAAACGGAGTTCAAAAATTCTCGGGAGAATTCGCGAATCAAGTTGTTTGTACGTGCACCCTGCAGCGTACCGATGGTCTAAACGATGAATGTATCAACATGGTTCTCAGGGTTCTCCGCATACTCGTCCTCTAGGCCGCGCGAGATGCGGTGGCCGGCGTCTGCACTATTCACTTTAATGACTTTGAAGAAAATAAGAGAAAAGCTCGCCGTCTACCAATTGCCATGAGACAGTTGTTAGTTTTCACGCGATTTGCAGTCCCTTCTAAGGCCCAGTTCAAACGTCGAATTTCACGTGTGCCGAACTTAATTCCCATTTTAGTCCACTAAAATAGTGAAATACGGCATTTGATTCAAACGTCGAATTCAACTCTCTGATCTCCTGTCGAATTTAACTCTGTTCGCTGTCAATATTCCCAGTTAAAAAATAATAATTTACTAAAATTCATGCGTTAAGTTCGGCACATGTGAAATTCGACGCAAGTTTGAACCGGGTTAACATAACATAACATTTTATTAGCATTCCCATATACAGAAATGGCATTGCTTTTAAACTATCACAATTATAGATTTAATTATATTTAAAATAAACAGACAGTATTTAATTATATGTAAAAATTAGAAATCTCTCAGTTTCCCTTGCTTTTGTTTTATGGAATAAAATTATGTAAGTTGAAATGCTTCAGAGACATAGTATACACGTTTTTTTTTTACAAACATATGGATCGATATTGTTAAAAAGAAATAAAACCTTTTCCGATTTGTTTAAGACTACGAATTTGGGGTACTTGGCTCCTACGTTTTGAAAAAAAATCGCATCAAAATTGCAACAGCCAAGTAATACGTAAGCAGAGTTAAGTTTCGTCTGTGGCGTAGGCTAAAGCAGTAATCGCATTATTAAAATACCAAAACCGGAGGGGGGGTACTCAACAAAGTTTTATACTGGTAGGCTCCACCCCGAGGTCTAACCCCGTACCCTTTTATAAACCATTTTTGACCATTGACAGAAAATTCACCCTTTTCGTGCGTTCCGATTGACAAATGGTACCTCTTTTCACATATACCTTAGTATAGAACTTTTTGGCATCCTTTTCAACTGCTGTAAATGCACTGTCTATAAAAAAAAAATGAAAAAAATACAAAACCAGAACTTTTTCTGGACTTTGCACAGTCGTAAAATGCATCGGTGAGCCCTTGTTCGGCCTTTTAACAGACCGACATGACAGATTTGAATTCCTTACCCTTTCATACTGACTTCAAAAAGTGAAATCTCTACGGCCGCCTGGTTAGCTCAGTTGGGAGAGCGCCGGTCTGCTGAGCGGGAGGTCGCGGGTTCAAACCCCGGCCTGACCAACACTTAGGGTCTTTAAATAACTGAGAAGAAAGTGCTGCCTTTGTAATGACATCTGCAAATGGTTAGACTTTCTAGTCTTCTCGGATAAGGACGAAAAACCGTAGGTCCCGTCTCACAGCACTTTCACTGATCTGTTCTTGTGGGACTTAAAAGAACCCACACTACTGTTCGAAAAGAGTAGGGGACGTAGGTGATGTGGCCAACCTTAACGGGTTGTGGGATTGGGTAGGGATGGCACCTTGCATGGGACCTGTGAGTCCCGTTCGTTCCTATTCCCTCTGGGCAGGCCTGTGTCCAGAAAAGCTTGTAAAACGAAGAAGGTAACCTTTTCGGTTTGAGAGCCTCCCCGTATAGGTAGTTATAGGAAGTAATCTCCCCTCCCCCATCTGGGAACGAAACCTTCTTTAGCAGATAAGCATGTGCCCCAAGGGAATCGCTGCATAAGCCGGCGTTGCAAAATTGCTATATAATTGGCACCATGAAATCACCACAAAATCTCCTGTCTCTCTCAGTAGCCTGTACACAGACGTTGTTTTATTTTTCTTTTCGTTCTTTTGAAAAACACCGGCGTGCGCGGAGCGCGAGAAAGAAAAATAAATAACTTCCTAATTCTTCTTCCCTCACCCCTACCCCCTAGCCATGGCGGTCAATGAATCCCCCGGGGTTTATTTTTTATCACACGCGCTCGACGGACTTTGAAGAGAAAATAGAGGGTCTGTAAACAGGCTACTGTCTCTCAGGCCTCTGGATTATTCTTTTTGTTTGATGGTTTTAAAAATTCTAACTTTTTTTTTCTTCTTACAGTGACAACAAAACACAAGGGGTATGTCAAACACTATCTTATTGTTTTCTCCTTTTTGACTGTTTTTAACTGAGAGGAGAGGTCGTTACGTCCCGTTGCCATGGTAGCAAAATTTCTGGATGACAACAAACCGACACAAGTGGATTCGCACTGTTTCAAACTTCATCGATCTTAATCAATTTCATTTAATTTGTCAAATGTTGGCGAATTTTTGTGGGGTTAAATCCGAAAGGACCGTATCTAAGTTTAGAAAAAGAAAAAGAAAATTTTTGCGTTGTGCTCACCTACTTCGTAATTAAAAGCAGTTGCGTGAAATTAGGGAATTTCACGTCGCAGTCATGCAACGACGGCTAAGAAACGTACAAAAAAGCGCGATGCACGTGCAGAGTTAATGTTTTGCGGATATAAACCTATTGCTTTTTTCCAGTTCTCTTTGCCTTCGCCGGCGTCGTTGCCTACGCTCCCTATTGTTGTGATCCAGAATTTTGCTACCATGGTAATTTGACGTCACATTTCTCCTCTCTATATGCCACTAAATATAATCTTTCGACTTTGACGAACAAAAAGTCACAAAATTGCATTCAAATCTTGCATCGAGTAAAGTGTCATATATTAAGACTAATCAACTGGCTATCAAATTCTACTCGGATTAAAATGCTTTAGGAATATAAATTTACTGGTAAATGACCACGCAATATTGGATTTCGGCAGGTATTAGGCAAAGAATTTATGCGAGAAACTAAGCATTTTTCATGCTCGGTTTAAAAAAAGTTATTGCTTGGTTTAAAAAAAAGTTATAATAGAACCTTGGGCTGCTTTCGGTACCGTTTTACAGTCCGTTACAGTCCTCGGGACTGTAAAATATTTTGCTTTTATTTTGCCTCGTAATCTGCTGCAGTCAATCGAGATTATATCAAGTAGCACAGATAATTTATAAAAACTCATGATTCAGTTATCTCTGATCTTGTGTGTTATTCCCACCAGTACAGTACATCAATTTCAGTGGAATAGTTCATGTTTTCAAGCTGTCGACATTTTAATTGGTGAACACTAAAACTTATCAACGATGTTTGTGGTCAGTCATTTATTGAGTGCTAAAGGCGTCCCCTGAATGGAGGTTAGACCCAGGTGCTGGGACCCAAAAAAGTGTCCCTTTACCCTGAATAGACGTGTCCCTTCAATAGAGGTAAAAAATACAAAGATTATGTCAACAATTCTCTGGGACCACTGCCTGCAATCTAGAATCCAAGACTGTCTTAGATTCCCATATATGGGGCGACTCTCTGCTGATGTGCACTACGTTTGGGGGCATGTAGGCCCGGTTCAGACGCCGAACTTTTCATGAACCGAACCTAATACATTTATTAAGTGCATGAAACGTTCGGCGTCTGAATCAATTAGGAACGCCTAATACAATTTGGAATGGCTCAGGCGTTCTTTTCGCCCAGCCCGGCCGGGAATTCCGCCTTTGCAGCGACTTTGGAACGGCTTTGATTCGGACGCCGAACTTTTCATGTACCGAAGCTAAAGCATAAATTATTATAACGTATTTTGTAAGCAGTTTGACCAAAATGAGCATTTTTCTCCTTTTGAATTTAGTTCAGCTGCAATTAAGATCGGCGTCTGAATCAATTCAGCCGTTCTTAACAATCTGGGTCGGCTTTAATTCGAATTAGGTTCGGCTCATGAAAAGTTCGGCGTCTGAATCGGGCCTAAGAATGTATAAAATAGCCATTCTTTCACGTGATTTATATTAACAGGTAGGTTTTCCTCCACCTTTGAGTAACTTCAAATTAGGGGCTCACCGGGGACTTCAGGAATGCAGAAATCAGTTTGCGAACGACAGCTTGTGGAACTGTACAGTTGATTGGAAGCACGTTGATTCAGAGTTGCCCGTTTTTGTCAACAGCGCACTTCCTTGTGGTAAGATTGTTTACATTTGTGATCTAAAAATATAATCAGGTCTTAATAGATCCTACGTTCTTCGGCATATTCGTTTGCGGTCCTTTGTAGTCTTTTGTGGTTAATATTTGTACTTTATGTATTCTGGGGCCGTAACGTAGATCTTTCATAGATCCAATATGCCGTAATTCTTGCATGGTTCTGTCCATGTTTTAGAGGTTGGTTTTAGTCAATTCTTTATTTTCTCTGCGAGACATCAACTTGACACTTGGACTCTTGCGCCCCAGGAGACACGTGGTATGGTGTGATTCTGTGGGTGTTGAGGGTTCTGGGTCAGGGTTTAAATCAGAGTGCGCAGATATTTTTCATCAGAGCTTTCTCTGGTTGTTACGCCATACTGACGAGCCCCAAAGAGGGCGAAACAGCTGTCTATGGCTACAAACCCGGTCTGTTTTGAGCTCTTTCGGTGTCGTGTTGAATTGATGTCTTGCATAGTTAATTTTCACGTAGAACGGTCAGCATTGCAGTATTCTGCTTGCAGAATTTAATATGTCTAAAAATATAATATTCACACCTAACTGCAATAATGTTGTCATAAAAAATTTTAAAAAAGGCAAGTAGAAAAAGCTATGTGAGTAAGACACACGCACGTTCAGGCATCTGATCTGACCCCGGAGAAGGGAGGGGGCAGATAATCGACCAATATTTGAGTATAGGTGAACCATTGAGGGTTTGAGACCCTACCCCTATTTAAGGCAAAAAGTCCTAATCCTAAAAAATCCTTGGGCATAACCCTCATATAGGACAAAGGACAAAATGTATGCCGTCATTTATATTATTGGCGTTGCAATTGAGGAAATTCGTGTCACAGTCACTGCTTTGGTATCCCGTCTTGAAATACGAACAAAATTCATCAAGCTAATCAAATCGATCGTGCATGCAACACCATGTTTATGATTGGGACAGACACGCACGAAATTATATAACTTGTTTAGGAAAGACTCAAGCTATTCCCCTCTCCCCTCCCCCTCCCAATGCTTTTTTGTTGTTGTTGTTGTTTTTTTTTAGCCTGTTGCCAGGTTTTTTTATTGTTATTATTAACGATTTTTTGACAGCAGTTGCAACAAAATAAAATAAAATAAAATGAAGAAAAAATGGAGAAAAAAAATGAATCCAATAAATAAAAGAAGAAAAAAAAACATAACATATAATAACGGAAAGCCGAGGAAACGAAGCATTTAAGCTACTACTATCACTACACTTGACCTTCGCGCATCTCTCTCATGGCATCATTTAGTTTAGGAACTGTTGACGAGTTCTCTACAAAGGGACAGCTGATGAAGTCAGTTTGAATCTCCGTTTTTTTGTCTTAAAGATAGAATAAAAATTAAAGATTTCCTTTTATTAGTATGACATAAGCATCTGTGGTCTCTTCTCCATCTGGAATAAGTAACTTTCTAAAGCAACTTTTCTTTTTATTGCTAGCTGTCTCCAAATTGAGAAAATATTTCTTGTATTCCTTTCACCGTGTTCATACCAAGTAGCACGAGAACAGATTTTTGAACCTCTTATAATATAATCGCATTCTTTTTCGTACTCCATTTTACAAGTTTCTAAATTTTCCAGGCACTGCGGTTGGTGCCTCCGCAACTTTTTCTTCGAATTTCCTCAATCTTTCTTCGATTTTTTTCAGCTTAATTTTTCTTACGTTAGATTTTACTTTGCTGTATCTAATAGTTTCTTGTCGAATTCTTATATTTAATGTAGTCCCATTGTATCCTTAGATCTTCACAATAACTGATTTCACCGAGCCAAATAGGAAAAGTTTCGCGCATACATTGGACAAAATTGGAGTCACTGACTGGCAGTAGACTATTATTAAACCTCCAAAATTAAGGACCTCTTGGGTATTCAGCTAAGCTATCAACTTCAAGAACAACAGCGGAGTGGTCTGTGTTGATACCGGTTATTTATAATATCAGTTTTCGCGACATCGTCTTGAAGTGAATCGCTTATGAACCAATAATCAAGTCTTCTTTGAATTAATGGGGTTTTTTTGACGCCAAGTAAATGTTTTGCTTTCAGGGTTACGAACTCTCCAAATGTCCACAAGGTCATGGTCCATAATCAAATCTTCCACAAACTTAACTGAATCTCCGGCCCGAACTGTTTAAGGGTCGGTTTCAAGCACACATTAAAATCTCCCCCAGCTAAGGTTTTTTAGTTAGTCACTTGATATTCTTCGTCAGAAATAAACTCAGACAGTGTTTGAAAAAACGAAGATTGCTTTACTGACTTCTTAGGTGCGTATATATTAATCAAAAGAAAGGGAGCCCGGGAGCTCTAAAATGTTTTTCCGTGGAGCCCGGAGCCCCGTCGCTTCGTTACTTGGAACCCTAATACTATTTTACTGTAGAGCCTGGAGCCCTCAAAACGTTTGCTGCGGAGCCCGTAGCCCCAAATATTAAAATTCGGACATTCTTGAACACAGATAGCGTCATAACGTGCTTTCTTTGTTGTTGTTTGCTGGGAATCGGAACGACGATAGTAAAAAGCCAGTAAACTAGACTGAGGCTAACTAACATTCATTCTTTTAATTGTAATGAGTCTAATAATGATGCTGTTCTTGGCGTGTGCTGCAATCCACATGCACTTACTATACCTACTTTTTAACTGCATCATGTTTAAACTCTAAATTACTTAGACATATATTTCATGATATATTGCTTGATTCAGGTTTTTAAGCTTTTGTCCTACCTAGACATTGGAAAAATCCACATAGCACCCTTCGACAGTAGGCAGTGTCTCAAGTGTCAGATATTTTTTACAGCAACAATCTGTTCTCTTCCCCCTCCCCCATCATTCCTTTTTTTTTGGCTTTCGTCCCAATTTTCTCGCGTGGAAACGCTTGCTACGCAGGCAAATTTTTTTGTCTCATTACCCGCGTAGCTAATCGAACCCAATCGAACTCCAATCGTTCGATTGACTTCGAGTGGGGATCGTTAATTTTTTTTTTTTTAAATCAGGTGGGAAGGGAGGCTGGTGGGATTTGAGAGGGGGGCACTATGCAAAAAAATATGGCAAAAAAATATACCAGGAGTACCTGGATATCCAAAATCCACCGCATTAAGAGCCTTAAGATACCCTCTCTGTCCCATAATATTATGGCTCTTGACTGCGTGAAATCCATTTTCCAAGACTGTCATGAATCCCTTCCATGAGTGACTTTTTACTGATTTTCTTACAGCCACTCCAGAGACAGCCTTTCTCCACGCCATCAGCGCCGCCGCCATTACTTACGAACTAACCCTAAAATGCCGGTATAACATAGCGGGATGCTCTTGTGTGACACGTCGAGTATCTAATAGTCGGTCGGTAAAGTCAGGATGTGGAGATAATGTTGAGTATGGGATGGAACAGACAAGGCGATTTTTCGATGAAATAGAAACTGGAAACGACGCTCGGACAGCAATGAACAGGCATAACAACAGAGTCGGAAGAGAGGTACGGGTAGTTGTAGTTACAAGACTGTTTGGGTTGAAGACCATTTTAGCAAGTCTTGATCTTTTGGTTTCTCACCTTAGGTAAGCATCAAAAACTTGCTAAAATGGCGTTTATAGGACAGGTAACAGTAAGATACCAACGCAGACACAACTCTTTATGAGGAATGCTCAAGACGTTTAAGGCCTGGGTCAAAGGTGTGTTCTGGACATATGAATGATTGGCAATATCTCCCTAGAACAAAATGAAATTTTTCCCCAAAAGTAAATCTTGAGGTTTTTGTTGTGCCTTAACGTTTAATTATGGTCATGTGACCAAAAATTTGAAATGAAGGAAATTCCGAATTAGTAGCGAACTTACTTTGTTTGGATAAACAAATTGGCATTTCTGAGAGATGTAAACATGCCTAACTTTCTACGTTTGGAATGAATGTAAAAGAAGTTTAAAATTAAAGTTTTCAATAATTCAAGATTAAGTTTGGGCATTTTAAATGGTGTTTTTCCTCATAACTTTTTATTGAAGTTCAAAGGACGGTCATTCCAAACGTGAAGTGTTAGAAATATTTAATATGAATTAGAAAAACGTTATTGCTAGATTTCTTTTCTTAAACTGGCCACCAATTGGTCAATAATTTATGATTATTAGCAAAATGGCCATGTGACATATCACGTGACTTATTAACACAATATTTATTCCTTAAAATCTTAAGGACGATGAGTTCTTTATGTATGCCAAATTTTGATTCAGCGCCATCATCTATGCCGAAGTTATAGCTAATAAATCATTTTCCACAGGTAAACCCCTTAGTCCCAGGCCTTAAACTATCTGAGGTATGGAACGTTTTTTTCTTTTCCTTTATTACCCCCCCAGGGTTTAAAAGCAGTGGTTAAGTGTACTTACGGGGTATCTATAAATGAGCATGTGTTCTAATCATTTTTAGTTTTGAGCACCTTTTAAGAGGTTGGAACCCTTTTTTCCTGTTACAGGTAGTCGGATCTAGCCTTGTTGACTGGTGTAAATCATGTCGTGACGTCATTACACGATCCAAGTTATGGGCTCCTGACAAGTCGAAGACTTGCTGGAAGATACTGCCTCCTTTTCAAGACATTGGAACAATGCTAAAGAAAAAATACCACAATGCTGTGCCGGTGTTGTTTGTTGGCAACAGGTTGATGGAGAAAGTTGGTGATAATATGAGAGCCATACAAAACAACGATACAAAGCTTGTTTATCTTGATCCCTCCTCGAATGGCTGCCTCCGAGATGACACCATGACCTCACCCAATAATGAAATGTTTAAGACAAAGTCATGTAAGAGCGTATCTCGCTACAAACCCAACTGCCATTTTTTTTCAGCTCTGTGCAGCTATTTCGGAATGAGACAAGAAACAGTAACAGAAAGAGTGAGGAAGACTAGGAGACGTCGGTTCTGCTTCGAGGGTTACAGAAGGAGACGAACCTTTCACACGACCACGACAACGACCTGTCACAGTAAACCTCAGGGTGTTAAAGCTATTTAATCTAAGAGGGTTTTGTGCCTTTTTTTTTTCCTTTTCCCATCCATGCCTTTTTGGTGTCCAGTTTTGTGTTAAGATATTCCTTTATGGTTTTCAGTAAGTTCTTATTTTGCATGGCAGTTAATTTTGTGATATAGCGGCCCTGGGAAGAAGTTGGGCGTAATGACAATATTGAGTGTTCGACTTACGGACGCGAGGGATTATACTCTAACTTCCCTCCAAGTCGTACTTTAAAATTTTGGGAGACTCTGTAATGCCGGCGTTGGACGAAAATACGTTCATAACTGGCGGAGTCGTCCAATACGGAATTGACTATTTCAGCTCATAAGTTATGAGGTTCGACAGGAGTCAGGAGTTTTGTTCAGTGACACTCAAGATTATCTCCATGATTGCTTTGATTTAAAAGTTTTAAGTCTGCTATTTCAGAGCATAATTTGCAATTTCTAGTGTACGTAGGTACTTTTCGTAGACACTTCGAGGCACGACAAATACCGTAAACTGCCCCTTATAAGCCCCCCCCCCCCCCCCACCTGTTATGGCAAATCTAGCTTTCAACAATAAAAAAATCCGATTAAACCTTCGGTCCCTTCCGAATATAAGCACCCTGCGAGCAGAGGCTACACTTTCGCTGTGTGAGCTGTCGTGCGAAAAGTAGCTACGCCAGCTCACATAGCGAAAATGTAGCCTCTGCTCGCAGGGTAGAATATAAGCCATCCTCTAGTTCCCATCGATCGCGTCTGTACCTTGCCTTTCTGAATTCGATTTATTATGAGATTGTGAAAAGCTTCATTTAAAACATGCAGTTTGATCAGCACTGTTGCTTCGAATGGCTTTTTCGCAGTTTCTGGAAAAGTACCACGTACCCCTCCCCTAAGCCAACATTATCACTTTCTTCTCACTTAGGGCAAAATGTTGGCTTAGGGAGGGGTAGGTCATAACCTCACCATTTATAAGCCCTCAGGAAACCCCTTACAAAGAAGTGCAAGCCCAGGGTTTATAAACGGCATATCACGGTAGGCCATTTCCGAGATCCAGAAACTCTCTTTTCAAACTGAGACTAACTGCAAAACCTTGTGAAAATGAATTTTTATTTGCATGAGAATAAAAAATTGATTTCATACCAAAGGATTTGCACCCAGCCTTTATTCAAAACATGAGAAGTTAGGAGCAACTCAAAAATGAACGGCCTTTTCTATTCTATACCACACTGTTTCGTTAATTTTACCAGTAGCAGGAACAGTTCAGATTAGTGCTCTTCCATTTATCTGCGATTCCGATATGTTTTTAACCTTTAAATTTGCTCGATTTTGCATGGTATCACTCATTTTATACGATGTCAGTAGATTTAGACGATATTGTTATCAAGTGATTAGAATGTTGATTACAAGAAGTTAAATTAAAATTATAATTAAAAATTATCGTCCCTTTTTTCAGTTTCTTTGTCTTCATTGTCCCTAGGGCTTTGCCGCCCCAAGGAAAAAGCCCTGATGAAATGGTTGTTGTTCCTTTTATTATTATTGTTTTTTTTCATATCATTTAAAATAATATCCCTCCCAAAATTCTTTGCTTTTGCCGGTCTGCACTTGATTGGAAGGGGATAATTCGAAAATTCTTTACTTCTACTTTTATCTAGATATAACCATATTTATACAAGAAGCCCTTCCTCGCGCGCCGAAATTCCCCGTTCACATTTTTTATTGTTAGCCGTCTCCAGATCGCTGCAAAGAGCGTAGCTAAAGTCGATTTATGCTCCTTGTATTGTTAAAACCTTAAAAAAAGCTAAAAAGTAGAGGAAAATACCCCATGTGGGGAATCCAATACAGTCTTGGATTCTGGCTCCCACGCACTGAATTCCAGATTCTTTGTTCGAGGAACTTGGAATCTGGATTCCTTGAGCTGGATTACGGATTCCGCAAGCAAAAATTTTTCGGATTCCGGAATCCGAATTCCCTTATACGGGTCGACATAAACGTGTCTAAATGGATGTTACACATACACCCAGGCTCCATCCAGGGAAGCCTAGGCCTGCGGGCTATACATAACAGCAAAGAACAAAGCGATTTGAGCATTCCCGAGTATTCAAGTCGCTTTGTTCTTTGCTGTTTTGGTATTACTGTTAATTGGTCTTTGTTACTTAGACAGCAAGATTTAGATACCGTAATTATTACAACAATTTTCCCAGGCTCTATATGTCTGCATGGATGATTAGTTCGAGTTCCGGAAAGCCTGCCAGCAAGCTCTCCATTTATGATCCAAGCGAGCTGCAAGACAACGCGCGAACGAGCGGCGAAACCGCGAGAGAGAAGCGGAGGATTTTTCCGCCTCTGGCACTCGCGTCACCTTTCGCGTGCTGTTCTTGCGTGACTTCTCGCGACTCCCCCAAATGGAGAGCTTGCTCACTGGCTAAGTTCCCGACGTTGATTGATTTCTGTCCGACGTGTCTCTCTGGCTTATTTATTTTGCAGTTGATTACTAAATTTCCGGCAATTAACGGGATTAAGTTTTCCTGGCGTGGATCCACACCAGGTTCGACTGGTTTAACGAAATCGGACACATTTTTCATGACAAATTTATTTTTAATAATAAAAACACTTTCCAAGTTAAAATCTGGCCAATATCCTAAAGGAATAACTCGAAAAACCAAGAAAGGGGACTTATTTATCCTAGATCCGCGCCTGTTTTCTGACAACAGAATGCCATCGTGTTACCCCGGCCTGTTTAGCGGCACAGACCGGTCTGGACTAAACAAGGAACTGCCCTCGGGCTTCAGCACCATATATTGTAGCAGAAACTTTTTGTTTTAGTGCATCGTCTTGGTGGTGCCGCCAAAAAAAAAGAGATCTTACGCATTGCCCTTCTTTTCGCGTCTCGGCTAACAATCGTGTTTTCAATTTTTCTTTCGTGACCTTTCGACGAGCGGTCAACTAATTCATTAAAAGGCTATTATGGGGGACAGATCGTCATATCACTGCAAGCAACACGTAGGTGAAAGGAAATATCAACAAGCTAACAGAGCAGAGTTTTGTGAGTTATTTGGCACACAGTCAAATGTACCCCTATTCATATTTAAGAGTCGTATGTCTCGATCAGTACCTCGCTCATGCCAGTCAGACGGCTAAGACGAGTTCAGGAGTGAGACTACAACTCTGAGTATAATGTTGGCTGCGAGTTTGTTTCTTTTTCTAGCTGCCTCGGTCTCAAAGGATGTGGTAGACGCATGCGGCGCTTTCTCGCAGCATCCTTTCGAACTTACATACCAGTAAGTAATTTACCTAGAGCTTTAAGCTTAACTGGTGCATAACCTTACTACTGCGCCTAAAGGCCTCTGTTGGCAGGGCCAGTAGCATAACCTGACAGATTTACTATAAACGCTTGCTTGAGCAGGAGGTAATCACAGAAGACTCTGTCAAATCCTTTTGAAATATAGCCTGCGTAGCAAGCGTTTTTCCGTGTGGTTTCGGAGCAAAGAAAGACCGAGAAACGACGAGCTCCTGAACGGCATTTTTTATTTTGGCTGCGCGAAAATTGACTCTCGTTCCACGTTCTTTGCTCCGAAACCGCACGGAAACGCTTGCTACACAGGCTATATAGCCACATAGTATTTTAAAATAGTATCCAATGGTGGGTCCAGACCTTCAGATAAGGAGGAGGCCGGTCTCCACAAAAAATTTTTTCGGGATTTTCAGGATCTTGACTCGGGGTATACAGCAGGGTGTCTTTTTGGAACGGAAGCTTTTTAAAGGAGTAGACTGCCAGTAGTCTCTTAAATTTTCCTTTGCAAAGTTTATCGTTGCAATTCCAAATGATTAAGAAAGAAAGAGAAAGATGCGAATACCTTTTCTTCCTGTTCTAATCTAAGTTATGATGAAATAATTTCTTAGAGGCCAGGTTTGAAAACGGGTGTGAAAAATGACATATTTTGGTCTGATATAGGGTCAGGATTTGGAGAACCGGGCGGCACACTCCAACCAAGAATTCCCAGGAGTACCCTCCGAAGATACGTGTATATACATGTACAGGGTTGGTTTTTGTCGTCTCTGTCGTCTCCTTCTTTCTTACTCATATTTGGAATTGAAACAGTAAAAACGTTCGTGCACTCCCCTAGTTCCCTAACAAAAACCATACCCGATTCCAGACCAAAATGAGCAAAGTTTACCTCCGTTTTCGGACCAATACAGCGCAAAACCCTACCCTTTGGGGCGGTACAGACTTATATTGCTAATATCTCCCCCAGATATATATAGTGGCACATTTTGGCCACATATAGGCCATATAATAACAACACTTATTTGCACTGCCATTAATATAGATGGTGTTGCATTCAAAGGAAAAAAATAGTAACTGAATAAAAAGAATAATAAAAATGAAAACTAATTATAGATTTAAGTAAGGGCCTGTTTACATGGAGGTGGGGGACCCCAGGTAAGTGACTTGACATGTGACAGGTTACCCCACCTATTATGTAATCATGATCAAATTAAAATGAGAGGTTATATGGGCAGGCGGGTTACCTCAGCTACCTGGGGTCCCCCACCTCCATGTAAACTTCACAGCGGTCAAACGAGTGAAATTACTAATTACTAATTACGATTTAGTTTACTAAACTTTTTAAAAGTTTGCTAAAAAAGTTCTAAGTGATTGAAAACCGATGCTGACGTTATTATCGGCGCCATTTTCAAACATGATTCTCTTTTAGCGCGAAGCGTTTTCAGCGAAAAAAGCTCAAAATTTTGAGAAAAATGGAAAGATAGTTATGTTGACTAACTGATTTATACATCTTTGCCCATTTTTCTCTAACTGGTAAATGAAATCCCAGCAATAAAAAACAAAAATAACGATTTAGACGTTTGACCGCGGTGGTCCTATTATGTAATCATGATCAAATTAATTTGAGAGATTATATGGGCAGGCGGGTTACCCCACCTACCTGGGGTCCCCCACCTCCATGTAAACAGGCCCTAAGATAGGATACTGATACTGGAAGTATATAATAATACAATTGAGGTGAATATAAGTGACAGCGATAGCGAAATAAAAAGATGATTTTAAATTTAAAGATGATTTAACTGATTATTTCAACTAAATTAACGTAAAGTTTGACGTTGCTAGGCGATGGAATTGTGCTAACATCTTGTTTCTTTCCGCAGCAACAAAACACAAGAGGTAAATACGCCTTTTTAATATATTATTCTATTTATGTTTTCCCTTATTTTGAAATGTGATACAATGGCACTAAACCTTCGACCTTTAGAGTGTTTTCACTCACGTGACCAGTATCTATGCAAGATAAGGTTATTGAAACAACAACAACCAAAAAAACATTTACGTGCCGAAAGAGTTCAACTCTCACAGCATTTGTTTGGAACACCAATATGGCCGCCGCACGTCATGTGAAACCTCTCTCCTCCGCAGAGGCTCCCGCTCGGTATCCCTATAAAAATAGCAATAATCAGAAAAAATAGAAAGCGCGCGGGGAGCGATGGGAAGAGGGAAAAGGCACGCTCTGTTTTTCTTTCTCGGCAGCCTTCCCGCAACACAAAGATGCCTCTGCGGAGGAGAGAGATGTGAAACCATGGGATAAGGCTCTCTATATGTTTGTTTGTTTTTATAGCTCCTCGCACGAGATAAGCTCTAGTTCCATTATTTCATCCTTTTGATTGGGTGCGGCATTAATCGAGTGATATCATGATTATCATAATTTCGTTCGCATGGGCAGCGTTTTTTCACCAAATGGAGGCCGGCACATTCAATAACGTATAGTCAAATCCTCTTTGACATGAAATAACTATTCTTAGGAACGTTATGTTTATTAAATAAATGTGTGTTCTTACGTGGTTTATATTATTTTACAGTTAGCACTTCCTCCGCCTTTGAATATCTTAAAATTAGGGGCTTATCGTGGAATTCAGGAATGCAGAAATCAGTTTGAGAATGATAGCTCCTGGTGGAACTGTACATTTGACTGGAAACGCGTTGATCGACAGTTGCCCATTTTTTTCAACAACACACTTCCTCATGGTAAGAATATTTTTGTATACTTGTGATATCTCTGGAAGGGGGGGAAGGGCTGGGAAGGCGGAGGGAGACACTCAAGGGAAATTTGAGTAGAGGTTTATGGCCGAGGCCTTCAAACCCTGCAGACCGTGTTAAATACAAAAATCGTTCATTTCGCCTCCTTGTTCAAGACAAGAGAGATCATTTTACGACGGTCATGATTCATTTTGTTTTCCAACAAGATGGATTTTTTTTTCAGCCAGAATAATGGAATTTGATTGTTTAGGAAAAAACATCTTTGGTACCACAAATTTAGACCATTCATCGTGACCCTTCTGTCCAAAAAGACACCCTTTCCAAGACGCTAAATAGTGAAATTTTATGCCAGCCCTGTTTGAGATTCCTTATGATGGACTAGCATGCAATTGAGAACAAGTTTATCAAATACCTCCACTGGTAATTCATTTTCATCTATGCGGGCCAGGGGGGTCCTTTCCGTCTTAGCTCATAATTAAAGGACAATAAAAGTCTCATGACCGTATACCTCTATCATCGTCATCATCTTCATCATGTACAATCAAACTCTTGGAGCGGGTTACCAGTAACCGAGGGTCACAAGGGTCTGGCCATCTCTCAAATCTCAAGAACTCCTGGTAATATTGGACGCCTTCGATGTTGCCGTACCAGTACCGTACTATTCACACTAGAGACGGATAATTCATCTTTTAAATCAGTCAAAATTGACGGCCAAAAAAAATGAATAAAGTCAGGCGGATTGTCCATCTAAAATTAAGACCATTCCATTTTAAATTAAGACGTACAATATGTCTGACACGAATTATCCAAGGGATAACCAGTCTCAGACGGATAATCCGTTCCTAGTGTGAGTACAGCCATTCTTGCAGTTCAAGGTAATGGCGTTTTCTCTGCACGTGCCCTGGTCGTATCCTTCTACCAATATGCTGACGTGACCTATTCAAATTGCCCCCAAATTGCAAATTCCAAATGTTTCTTTATTGTTTTCAGTGCTAATAAATTTTTTTGTCACCCAATTTCGAAGCCAGTCTCTGCAGTCAAACCTCTCGGGAGCGACTAGCCAGAATGCGAAGATTTAGTGGTCGCCTACGGGAATCGAACCACCAAAGTTCCCTTCCCGGAAGAGGACCGATCACAGCTACATTTTTTAATAGAATTCACTGCATGAAGTTACGATATGTGTTGCCAGTTTCATGCAGAAGGACGATTCCTTTGGACTTAAGAAGATTCGCCCAATGACATACAACACTCTAGAACATGGTGAACCTACTTCTCCAAGATGTTACTTTAGTTAAACTTGGATTCCACATATACAGCCACTGTCTTTCCATGTTCTCAGGCTCAAAGAACGACAAATACACATCGGGCGAACCGACCTTCGGACGAAACGACCACATACCTCTCTTAGTAGTTTAGTACATAGAGCGGGCATAGAGATCTACCATATCCAAGTTTTCGCTAACAGGAAGATAAAATCAACGGTGAAATAACAGTGAAGCCCTTGTAATTTCGAAAAGACTCAAGTTGCCCTAGGATGACCGAACAGATGCAAATTTTATAGCGACACTTGAATGCATTTATAGAGATCTAAAAGTGTTGTGGATAGTCTAAAAGGTGTTTTCAACGTATTAAGGAGGAAACCGGTGCCGCGCCCCCCTCTTTGGACGACGGCCGTAGATTTGCCGATAATTTTAGATGCAATTAACATGTTACGAAAGTAAGAACTTTTCTGATTCCTCTCTCCATCACATTTTTGAATCCGAACATTTTAAGTTTCTTTTTTCAGTCGAAAAATAGCCAAACCTGGGCAGTCAATTGTGAAAAATTAAACTTAAAAACATTTATTAGATAAGCTTCGAAAATTTTACGTGAATGGAACGGTCATCTAGAAGTTTTTAGCCGTCCTGAAGTGATAGAAAATTCTAGGCAATTTTTCCTTCTCCGAACAGATATTTTACGGAAAACAGTCGTTGGGTGCTCCTGGAAGTTGGTGGTAATGGCGATTCCGATATGATTTGGTCTGTAATTTGCTTGCTTATGTACGTTGTCAGTCATTTTATAGATGTCCGTAGACAGTAGATACGTACGATTTTGTTATGAACTGATCAGAATGTTAACTATGACGTTACTAATAAAAGTACGCCTTTCTCAATTTCTTTGTTTTTTTTGGTTACTGTTATTTAAAGGGATAAAGTCTCTAAAAATTCTTCTGTTTTTGCCCACAGCCATTAATTGGAAGGGGACAATTCGAAAGTTCTTTTCTTCTTCTTTAATCTATATAACCACATTTTATTTATTTACTAATTTATATTTATAACCTTTGAAAGGAGTACAATAAAATTCCTATCTATGAACGTCTCAGACGGATAATCCGTTCCTAGTGTGAGTACAGCCATTCTTGCAGTTCAAGGTAATGCCGTTTTCTCTGCACGTGCCCTGGTCGTATCCTTCTACCAATATGCTGACGTGACCTATTCAAATTGCCCCCAAATTGCAAAGCTCCTAAAACAACCAGTATTACCTCCACTTTTCGCATAGCCCTCTTTGAGTTAACTCTGCAGTCAGCGGGTACGGCAACATCGATTATCTTAAGGCAGACTCTATCCTCCTTCCCCACAACGATAATACCCGGTCTTCTAGACTCTATATATTACATGGTCGCACTGTATGTTGAAATCCCACAACACTTTAAATCTTATCCGTCTCCAACACTTTTGGAATCCCTCCATTTCTTGCATTTGCTTACAGCCACTCCAGAGACAGCCTTTCTCCACGCCATCAGCGCCGCCGCCATTACTTACGAATTGACCCTTAAATGCCGGTATAACATAGTGGGATGCTATTGTGTGAGACGTCGAGTATCTAATAGTTTTTTGGGGCAGTTAGGATGTGGAGATAATGTTGAGTATGGAATGGACCAGACAAGGCTATTTTTCGACGAACTAGAAACTGGAATCGACGCTCGGACAGCAGTGAACAGGCATAACAACCGAGTAGGAAGAGAGGTACGGTAGTTGTAGTTTCAAGACAGTCTGTCGTCCTATATAAGGGAATTCGGATTCCGGAATTAGGGAAATTTTTGCTTGTGGAATCCGGAATGCGCCGACAATTTGCTTATGGAATCCGGAATCCTGGGACTTTGAAATCCTGAATACAGCTCTAGGAATCCGGAATCCCACTAACGACTGGAATCAAGAATCCATGTTCCACTGACAAAGACGGGAATCCAGTACCTGGAATCCAGAATCCAAGACTGTCTTCAAATCCCATGGTAGCACGAGACTTCCAGTCGTTTTCTCCGTTGCTGAGAGGAGGAAACGACTGGAAGTAATCGTCTAAAATTCAGGCTACTTACATGGACTACATGGGGGGAAGTCTGGGGAAACGATTTTAAAGGGAACCTCCACTCTTACTACAGAATAAGATTAAATCGAATAAAATTATGTTGATAAACAAATTTGTTTGAAATTTGTCCTTAAAAAAAGTGTTTAGATCAGGAAAAGTGAATTTTAAAATCGCTTATGTTCACTTTCAAATTTCGCGGGCGCCGCCATCTTGAAGAATTGTGACGTGTTATGGTTGCTGTATTGTTCTGACACAAAGAGCTTTTGTTTAATAATAATAGGGCAACCGTAACACGTCACAATTATTCAAGATGGCGACGCCCGCAAAATTTGAAAACAAAAATAGGCGAATCTAAAAGTTATTTCTTTCGGATACAAACGCTTTCTTTAAAAATATTTTAGATTGACTTGACTGTAACAGTTATTACCTGCTGTGATTTAAAGTTATCTTTTTGTTGAAGTGGAGGTTCCCTTTAAAACAGCTTGTTCAACGGGAACAGGACACTTTTTCAGCCGGCGGAAAATTTGTGCGGCGTCGTATGAATGTAGCCTTAATGTCATTCAGAAGCTGTCTTCCTCTTTCAAGGCACATCTTGGCGTGAACCAAATATGGTGACAGTCATATGCTATAATTACGGGATATATCGTAGTTGGGGGCATGTGTTCTAATCATTTTAAACTTTTCTATTTAACTGCAGCGTCATTTAAAAGGATGCAACTCTTTCCCTTTACAGATAGTCCGATCTAGTCTTATTGCCTGGTGTAAATGCCATGGCTTCGGTGGAGCATGCCATGTGAAGACCTGCTGGAAGATACTGCCTCCTTTTCAAGACATCGGGAAAGTGCTAAAGAAAAAATACAGCGACGCTGTGCCGGTCTGGTTTGTGGGTAACAGGCTAATGGAGAAGATTGACGATAATATGAGGGTCATCAAAAAAGAGGACACAAGGCTTGTTTATCTTGATCCCTCCTCAAAAGGCTACCTCCAAAATGACACCTTGACCCCGCCAAATAGTGAAATGTTTCGGAAAAAGTCGTGTACCAGCAAAAATAGCGCCAAAACCAACTGTCAGTTTTTCATGGCTTTGTGCAGCTATTTTGGTCTGGGACAAGAAACAGTGAAGGAGTGTAAAAGGTATAAGAGTACAGGTTTTTGTAGACGAATGAAAACTTGCAAGAAAACATATTTTACCACAACTTGTTACCGTAAACCTCAGGGTTTAAAAACTAATTAACAGGTTCTGTTTTTTGTTTTTTATCCTTTTCCAAATGTTTCTTTATTGTTTTCAGTGCTAATAAATTTTTTTGCCACCCAATTTCGAAGCCAGTTTCTACAGTCAAACCTCTCGGGAGCGACTAGCCAGAATGCGAAGATTTAGTGGTCGCCTACGGGAATCGAACCACCAAAGTTCCCTTCCCGGAAGAGGACCGATCACAGCTACATTTTTGAATAGAATTCACCGCATGAAGTTACGATATGTGTTGCCGGTTTCATGCAGAAGGACGATTCGCTTGGACTTAAGAAGATTCGCCCAATGACATACAACACTCTACAAAATGGTGAACCTACTTCTCCAAGATGTTACTTTAGTTAAACTTGGATTCCACATATACAGCCACTGTCTTTCCATGTTCTCAGGCTCAAAGAACGACAAATACACATCGGGCGAACCGACCTTCGGACGAAACGACCACATACCTCTCTTAGTAGTTTAGTACATAGAGCGGGCATAGAGATCTACCATGTCCAAGTTTTCGCTAACAGGAAGATAAAATCAACGGTGAAATCACAGTGAAGCCCTTGTAATTTCGAAAAGACTCAAGTTGCCCTAGGATGACCGAACAGATGCAAATTTTATAGCGACACTTGAATGCATTTATAGAGATCTAAAAGTGTTGTGGATAGTCTAAAAGGTGTTTTCAATGTATTAAGGAGGAAACCGGTGCCGCGCCCCCCTCTTTGGACGACGGCCGTAGATTTGCCGATAATTTTAGATGCAATTAACATGTTACGAAAGTAAGAACTTTTCTGATTCCTCTCTCCATCACATTTTTGAATCCGAACATTTTAAGTTTCTTTTTTCAGACGAAAAATAGCCAAACCTGGGCAGTCAATTGTGAAAAATTAAACTTAAAAACATTTATTAGATAAGCTTCGAAAATTTTACGTGAATGGAACGGTCATCTAGAAGTTTTTAGCCGTCCTGAAGTGATAGAAAATTCTAGGCAATTTTTCCTTCCCCGAACAGATATTTTACGGAAAACAGTCGTTGGGTGCTCCTGGAAGTTGGTTGTAATGGCGATTCCGATATGATTTGGTCTGTAATTTGCTTGCTTATGTACGTTATCAGTCATTTTATAGATGTCCGTAGACAGTAGATACGTACGATTTTGTTATGAACTGATCAGAATGTTAACTATGACGTTAGTAATAAAAGTACGCCTTTCTCAATTTCTTTGTTTTTTTTTTGGTTACTGTTATTTAAAGGGATAAAGTTCTAAAAATTCTTCTGTTTTTGCCCACAGCCATTAATTGGAAGGGGACAATTCGAAAGTTCTTTTCTTCTTCTTTAATCTATATAACCACATTTTACTTATTTACTAATTTATATTTATAACCTTTGAAAGGAGTACAATAAAATTCCTATCTATAGATGTGAAAACGACCATGGGGCTGTGAACAGGATATACGCAATTTTCATACCTGCGCGAGTCCACCCTACAGCCGTAGTTCCCTTTAGTGGCTCTGTGTTTGTTCGAAAATTAATGTAATATTGGAACGAATAATATATACTGGCACCAGTATTACCGCAGTTGCTGTTTCGGAGCAAAAATTCCATTCTGCCTAGCGAAAAATCTCCCATTAAAAATGACTGAACTCAAATATTTAGTTCACGATTGAACTACGTACTCAGGAGCTGAGTAAACTAAGAATCAGTTTCATTCCAATATCATAACTGAGTCAGCCCCCTAGTTGGACTAGGTTAGTTAAGCAATAGACCACACTTTCTATGGGTTTACCAGCGTGATGACCCACGCGGGACGTTGGGAGAACGCGAGCAAAAGCTTGTATGAAAAGCTTCTATGAGTTTACCGGCACAATAAACCATAGGTTTTTAACCAATCAGAACGCGCTTACTATCCTGGTTATTTTATAAAAAGAAATAACTTTCTGTTTTCCATTCATTTATCGTGTAGATTGAATGATCTTGGGATAAAACGTAAACTGTATTACTGCCGAGACAACTGTGTTAGCCTGTTAGTTGGACCAGGTTCCTTAGAACTAACTTTAATAAGGCTCTGTTGATATGGAGAAAACCTGTCCCGGGTGGGAGGGTAATCCTCCCAGCCAAGCCCATTTTCGTGATAGAATATAAGAGAAAATTGTTGGCCCCTTAGCCCAACCCAACCCAACAGCACTGACTGTCTAAAACTTGCCTTGACGGAGTTGATCCGGCTGGGTGAACCAAAGTGATGGAGAATAGAATGGTGTCTCTATCATCACAGAAGGTTGACCCTACTAGGTGGGTCAACCTTCTAACCGAGCCAACTAAATGCTATTGTTTCTTTAAGATCCAACGACGCGGCGGCAAAGAAAACGTCGCTTAAAAAGTGAATTTGCGTTCGTCCAGTCTTTATCGCAATTATTCCTGTCGACTTACTTTGTCAAATGTAGGCGAACCCTCCTGGAGTTGAAATTCGAGGGACCATATCCAAGTTCAGAGAGAGAAGTAAAATTTCGTCGTTGCTTGTTTACGTACTTCATAAAACGTGAAATTAGGCAATTTCACGTCGTAGTCGTGCTAAAACGGACAAAGAAATGTAAAAAAAAGCGTGCACGTGCAAAGTTGTTATTGTTTTTTGACGTTATCGTCGAGGTCCGCGTCGTTGGATCTTAACGTCACTATTATGTATCCGTATGAAAAGTTGGCTCGTCCAGGGTAGCTCATTTGAGCGGGTGATCCTTCAACCCGGGACAACTTTTCTCCATATGCACGGGGCCTAACTATTAAACTGATGCTTGAACAATGATGTTGACTAAAAGACAATTAACAGAACAGTGTTGATAGCAATATCACCACTATATTAGCCTCGTTGTTAAATTTGGTTCGGAGCTGGTAATTACCAACTTTCTTCTGAGGCGCCATATAACTATTGAAAAAACAATGAGAAGAACCCCCAATACTGCAACTACAGCGATTAAAGCGTTCTCCGTTCCTGCAAAAAATAATGCTCAATTAATTATTACGAAACAAGTAAGATACCTGTACACGTTGCATGCAAAAGAAAAGTAAAATTAAAAAAAAACAATCCAAATATAACACAAAATTAATTTCTTTACCACAAGAATAATGCCTGAGAGAGGACGGCCGGTGAAGTAAACGGATTCAACTTTGTAATCAACAAATTTAACACTGGATTGAACCAAAACAAACTTCTCAGATTAAATCTTTATTTCATGTGTTTTTACCCATGGTTTTCTTGGGGCCTATAGTAAACTTACACGGCACCTCACAAACGCTACAAAAGGGAACCCCTTCTTTTACTGCCCGCCAAAATTCCCTCTTCAATTCCCTTTCCCTTTTGAACGCCTAACCCACAGCCACGAAGGCTACGTTCTTTCTTGAGCCCGAGACCTTACCCCAGTAATTACCCTCCTCAATTCATTATCCTCAAAAGTGAATATCCAACCTTTGTCAGTAATGGCTTCCTTTTGTCCCGTTGGCGCTAAGGTTGCTGCAGTTGTAGGTCGATTAATTGGAATCACAGTAGGAACAAGTTCTGCCAAAGAAGGAACAAGTTTGTTCCAAAAGGCCATCTTTTCGGGAAGCATGTTCCTTTGAACGGAAGATGAAGGCTTCAGTGATACGTACTGTTTGTCTCCAAGGTTGTACTCTGGCCAGGAGACATTTTCTGCAGTTGGTTTTCTACAAATTGAATGTTAAAAAAATGATAAAGGCGCACACGAGCCAAAGACCCAAATGGCCGGAGTTTATCGTAGTTTCCTTAGCATCAAGCATGCCTAGGAGTATTGCTACACCCTCCGAGACGGGATGCTAGTCCATCACAGGATTACCCCCAGCAGTATGTCGCCGGTAATCTTTTTATACACCTGGGTGTAGAGGGACAAAGTGGAGTAAAGTTCCTTGTCTAAGGAAACAACGCAACAGGCGAGGCCTGAGCCCCGGACCTCAAGTTCCTGAGTTCGAGGTGTTAACCACTCGGCCGCACAAACTTCCACTACATTGAATGATACAATTTTAAAAAGTTAAAAATCTGACAAATACAAGTTGGATAAAAAGTAGAGATAAAGAGTCACTAAAGGAGGAAAACGGTCATAGCGAGTATTTAAAGTATTGGAGAAAGCAATCCAGTTTTAGTAAAAGTTGCTAGCACATTATGCTATGATATCATTTTACGGGAGGAACCCAGGTTTACACGGACTTACCAGGTAGCACGTGTGCGTGAATTGATTTCTTACACTTACCCATTCTTAGCAAAGTTGCTCCACAGGGTAATAACCTGCTTTGAGAACAGTATTTCCTTATTCTGTTCAGTGGGCGAAAGAGTTTTATCATATCCCTTGTAAAAAGCTCCAAACACATAAGGAAGATCAGCACCATGGAAAACTCCAGCCCATTCTGGAAAACCAGCTCTGCCAAAGTGATCGAAGCAGTAAAAGAAAGTCTTGATCTTGTTTTTCACAAACACCTGTGCAGAGCGTGTAGCTGGAGCCTTAAACATTGCATCTGTAATGACATCCATATATTTTTGTCGTACTACTAACTGGTTCGTCTGGTTTGTCCAGTCTGTGTATTGAAATATCACAGCATCCAAGACTTTCTGAGTTTGGTTTCCGACCCAGTGGCCATCCTTTACAAGCTTGTCAAAATATGTTTTATTGAGTCCTTTATCAATACCAGGGACTCCAGGGGATAGTCCTAATGACAATAAACAAATGCACTTAACAGTGAAGTATGAACTTACAGCATATCATTTGAAAATATAGAAATAATAATAGTAATAATATCTGCCTAGAGTAAGGAATGTTCGAAATAAATATGAAAGACAAGAATGAAACAAAGAGAAACCATCCACTGCCAGTCATTAGGGACCGATCTAACGTCGGCTAGGGCAACGCGAAAACGTCCAAAAAGCAATAGGTTTTTAAATAAGCAAGAGAACAACTTTGCACGTGCAGCACACTGCTTTGTACATTTCGTTCTAGTTTTTGCATGACTACAATGCGAAAATACCTAATTTCATGTTTTATGGAGGATGTAAACAAGCAATGACGAAATTTTCTGTTCTTTCTGAACTTGAATAAGGCTCTTAGAAAATCAACTGTTGGAATAATCGTGATGAAAAACTGCAAATTAATTCACTTTTTAAGCGACATTTTTCCCTGCCGTCACCATGCTTGCGTTTAAGGTCTCTACTGTCATGCTCTGGCAATGAAGTACACAGATGTACTGCAGGTATTACAATCGTTTCAAGGACAAATGTAGTCACATAATTGAAACTGAATGTATATGGCTTGAAAGAACAGTTACATTTCAGTTCAATCTGTGCTCAAATTTTGCTTAGTCTGCGGCCATAGCATCCTGGAGTCAGTTTATGATCTAGTTTCATGTAGAAGATGATTTGCCTGCTTTGTCTATCTGACAAGCGAGTGTTAAAAGTTATTTGCCTGATGTCTGGGTAGGTAAGCCCTGAGTTAAGCATTTAAGATGTTTACTGTATAACCTTTCATATCAAGAACAAAAAATCCTCCTTCATTCTGAGTGACACCAATCATAGCTGGAACTGTTTGATTAAACTTTCCATTGAGTAGAAGATTGAAAGGAAGATCTGCGGATTTAACCGTTAGAGCAAAATAAATACAGAAACAATATTATAAGTCAGCAGGCACGTTCATACAATAAAATTTTAGACCTTTTATATACAGCCTGGAAATTTATTGCTGTTGCTGTATCTTCCCAAAAAACATTCAGTAATCCTCATTATTATGAAATAAGATGTGATCAGGGTGCAAAGAAAGTGAGTCTTACAGTCTGCCATTCGGGCAAGCTGTAGCTAGCATGTACTAGCCCACAGCACTTGCCCACTGGGCAAGTTAAGAACAAAAATCACTAGCCCAATATCAAAATCCACTAGCCCCAGGCTATCGGACATGACTTTCTTTGCACACTGTACATGAACGTATACAAATCATGGACACCCAGTCCATGGACCACCCCTGTGGACCTAGTCTATGGACCACCCGTGTGGACCCAGTCCATGGACCACCCCTGTGGACCTAGTCTATGGACCCCTTTGTGGACCCGGTCCATGGACTACCCCCGGGGAGCACCCCTGATGAATTTTTACCAGAGGACTCGCTATCACTTGTTCAATACAAGTACATCAAGGCCAAGGCCTGAGATTTCCCTGTAATGACTGAACGGAGGAGGTTAATAAGTTGTTTATATTTTGGCCTTTCATGATGGACCTGAGCCTGTGATAAATTAGAACAAATCCATAACAAAATCAATGATTAAAAACAATTATTTATGACACTATCAAACTCACCATAAAGAAATTTATGATCGACAACAGGCAGGAATGGTCGGCCACTGGTTATACTACTTGCTAAATTTTTCTGGGCTTTAAGTATCTCAGTTACACTCTTTTTTTCCAAACAGCTCTTTAATCCATCCATACTGCAGCCAAGAAGGTTTGCAATTGCTCTGTTGGCAGGGCAACAGTCATGGATTAGAATTTGTACATTTTTAACACTGCAGATTGAAATATTAACATAAAATCTCTATTAACCAGTAGTGTTTGTATATTGGGTTGCCTGTGTAACCCATTCTCGTAATGCATTGTGGGTGAGTGTGACAATACAATATGGCTGACTGAAATGTGTGTTCCCTGAGTGTATAATCCACCCCCATCAAGGACTGATCTGGCATTCAGACATTTACATTAGCCACAAGGATCAAGTTAATGAGATTTCCCGGTGACATGGCCGGAAGTAATATCAGACTGATGGTTATTTGAGGATCAAAATCGGAATTGAGTGAGCAATGGCGTATTTGGCTGCAAGGATTCACATACCAGCCTACACCTACAAAATCCCGTGAGAACGAGAAGCAAATTACTTTATCGGGCCGGTTCTGGAATGCAGGATATTTTTGAGAATCCTAAAATTGTTCCCCTAGAAGATCAAGCTGATGACGTTTATCAATAAACCATTTGTGCTCTGAATGCATACTATCACGTGCAAGAAAACGCAGCACTCGAAAGCCATTCTTCACCAACTAGGTCAAGATCCCGGAGAAGATGTGGACTCGTTAGTGCTTTGGCTAAGGAAACAAGTAAGACACTGTGGCTATGGAGTTGAAGAGGTCGAATTTGCACTAAGAGACCAGCTGCTGGAGAAAGTATCATCCCAAGAGTTATGGACCAAGCTATTTGAGGTTCCTAATATACAGCTTGCAGCAGCCTTGACTACAGCCAGAGTGTGGAAAAAAGTATGCCGTCAGGCAATTGCAAAAAGGAGGGGAAAAGAGCAGAGTGAATTTGGTGCAGGACAGAGCAGGCCAGGGAAAGCCAAGTGGGCAAGGCATGCACAAGTGCTACATGGGTGTGGTAGATCTGGGATATTGCATGTGACAAGGTGTGTCCTGCGAAAGGAAAGTTGTGTGCTAAGTGTGGCAAGAGAGGGCACTGTGCAGCGTGTTGCAGCAATGAGGCAGATGGAAAAGGGAAATTGTGTAAGTGGTGGAAGAGCAAGTGGGAGTAATGATTGGCGATCCTGTGGTGCTACCAGTGGACGTAATTTTAAAAAAAGGGGCCAACAAGTTAATCAAGTGGACTACGACAGTGAAGAGGAACCACTTGCCTTGCCAATTAACTACAATGAGGAAAGGGCCAGTGAAGATAACAATAATGCAGCGAAGATTAATGGCTTGAGGAGCTTGTTGAGGAGCACTTTCACAGCCTCGTGAGGAGTGGCCTCAGAGCAAATTTAATACCAGAAGACAGGAATGTTCATGTCATCAACTCTATGGCGATGGGTGTGGTAAATTTGAAGCTACATTGAGTGGCAAGGGAAAAAAGTAGTGGAAACTGTTCTTGTATAAATACAAGGAGAAGGGCCATATTTGCTTGGTAGCCCAGCTGCTAAAAGGCTACAAGTGCTGAAGGTTGGACCAGAACTGGTGAACATGACGACCATATATTTCAAAAAAAGTGATATCAACGGTATCATGAGGTGTTTCTGAAAGATGTTCTCTGGGGTTGGCAAGTTGTCCGCGGCTACCAGCTTAACGTTGCACATCAATCGTGAAGTACTTACAACAAAAGCACAGAAACCGAGGTGGATCCCTTACCCTTTGAAAGAGATAAAGTCCAGAGAAAGATTAGCGAGCTTCTTAACCTTGACATCAACAAGAAAGTTTTTAGGCCCAACAAGCAGGGTCAGGCCAGCTGTCATAGCTTCCAAGCCAAACAAGGATGATGTGCGTAATATGTCTTGACATGATGCATGCCAACAAAGCAATTCAAATTGACCTTGAGGAGGAATCAAGGGATATCACAACATTTTCAGACGGTGATTCATTGTATCGTTACAAGAGGTTGATGAACATGAATGCTCCTGAACAGTATCAGAACATCATTAGACTGTGACATGCAATTGCTGATTGCCCTGGTGCCACCAACATAGCTGATGACATTGTTGTGTATGAATGGACAACTGAGGAGCATGACAGAAACCAGGTGACATTGCTAGCCTGGCGATTACAGGAAAAAAAACCTGACCCTTAACAAGGACAAGGACAAGATTGGAATGATCAATCAAATTGTTTTCATGGGATTGCTTTTAAGTCAGCATGGCGTGGGATCAACAGAGGAAAAGGTCAGAACACAGTTCGTGAAACAGACCCCCTTCTAGTGTTGCCGAGTTGCACAGTTTCCTGGGACTTATCAGTTTCAGCTTGAGGTTCTTGCCAAATTTTGCAACAACCGCAGAACCACTATGAGAGTTGAGAGAACAAGACACCAAGTGGCAGCTGTGGGCCAAAGAGGAAAATGAAGTATTTGAGGCATTAACCCTTTAAGCCCCAATATCCACATACAAACTCTCCAAACTGATCTCCATACATTTCCTTCATGAATGAGTTGAGAGAATTTGATAAAAGATGAAGGCATTTTCCCTTAGGTGATCATTTTATTAATTCTCATAACCTAATCGCTTGACATTGTATGGATATTGTTAGGAGAAAATTGACATTAGTCACTATTGGGACTTGAAGGGTTAAAGCAGACTTCAGCTAAGGTGCATCAATTATGGCCTTCTATGACAAGAACGCTCCAACTGAGACGGTCACTGATGTGAGCTCTGTCGGACTTGGGGCAATACTAGTGCAGGGGCATGGGGAGTAAAGAGAGCAGTTGCATTCACGAGCTGTAGCTTAAGTGAGGTTGAGCGCCAGTATAGCCAGATAGAAAAAGAGATGCTAGCAATGGTCTGGGGTTGTGAGAGATTCAATCTTTATCTATCAGGGCTAGAGTCATTTCAGCTGGTTACCGACTGTAAAGCTTTAGAGGCTATTTATGGACCGAAGTCCAAACCATTGGCCAGGGTGGAGCGATAGGTGTTGCACCTCATGCCTTTTAAGTACACCGTGTGACATGTACCATCATGTCAGGATATTGCTGACTGCCTAAAACGGTTGAAAAAGATACCTGCTTTATCACACTGTAACAGCTCAGCTGAGGAGCCATGAGGTTAATGTATAAATTCACTTGGACCTTTACTTCAAACATTGCTTCTTATCAACCTCCATAAACAACTTTAACTATGTCATTTTTTTGCTTTCTTTCAAAAGCATTGTGGATGCGATTTCAAAGGAATTAGACCAACTACAACATGATTTATCGCATGCTCATACGTAGATTCAGCTGCCATTTACCCATTACAAGTCTTCCTAAAGACATCAACGCATTTTGCATTATGTGCATCATGTTGTGCCAGTCAATCGAAAAACAGTGAGAGATACAGGTTAATAATGCCTCAAAAAGCAGGAGGTACAACTGTACAATGTCACAATTTCAGAATCTAGAGTTAATTTTTTTCATTTCTATCCACTCATTTTGCTCAAAATTCAACTTTGTGGTGTGGGAGCGGGGGGCGGGGGGCACTTAGTTTTACACTGGGAAGTTCTAAACACTTTTTACCTCCATTGTAGGAGAACTGTCAATTAAAGAAAGGTGAACATAAAATAATAATTTAAAGCATCTTGCAATGTGTTAACTTACTTTGCACTCTCAATTGCTGTTTTGTTGTCCATACTAGCAAAAGTGGAGGCTGCTGTTCCACTTTGAAGAATAACCTTGTGGTAAAGACCTGCACTCATTGGAGACATCATATGAAGACCAACACTACAAGCTCCAGCTGACTGGCCAAATATTGTCACATTATTTGGGTCACCTCCAAATCTAACAAAAAGATTTGAATTGGGAAAACTAAATTGCAAGTTTGCATTTCCTATCTTCACTGCGATTAATTTGTCATAATACAGTAATTAACTTTCAAAGTAAATAATTTTAAGGTGTTTGTAGTTTTATTATTTATTTATATTTTTTTATTATTTAGTTTGACTTCGATCCCTACCTTCCTTTCTTACAACAAGGCAATGCTGAGCTAGGAAATGTTAATGAGAGTTACTACCATTAAATTTGGCAATGAATTACTAAGACATCTTGGTGCATGGTGGTTTGTAAATTAATTATCCCTTCAATGGAGAGTTCCTCCACATCGTACTGCACAAACTCGCGGGGCCCCACTCTAGTATACTTTTGGGCCTTCCTTGACACTTCTAAGGTCCGCTGCAGTTTCTGCACTACCAATTCTTGTCTCTCCAGAATGTTGCATTTTTCATTTTTCTTCCCACCACTATCTCCTGTTTTATGCCGATTTGCTTTCATCTCCTTCTTAAACGTGCCCCAGGATCTCCTTCAGTCTGCCATGTTTGGTTGAGCCCGCAAGGCATCTTGGTCTATGGCAGTTTTAGGTCACTGACATAAATTTTTCAATTTGTTTTAATTTCACTTACTTTCAATTGACTTAATCGCTTTGAGATTAATTATTTCATTTAACACAGAAGGCTTTGATTTCCTTTCATTTTTCATTTTAAATTGTTTTGGAAATGAAATGAAAATAAGATAAAATGTATAAAATAAAATAAACAATTTAATGAGATAACTAAAACCATTCATATAAAAGGAAAAAGCTGGAAATAAAACAAAATCTCTATGGCAGCTCTAGGCCACCACAGAGAACTGCTCATTTTGCTATCAATTTGAAAACGGGTACTTGTGATTTTCACGTTGAACAAAAAATGAAAACATAAATGAGGTTTAACAGGGATAAAAAGAGCTAGAATGTCAGAAGCAATGTATTTTGGACACTTGAACAGAAGTGTGTTTGGGCTGAGAGTGGGGTGTCACAGTTTGAGCTGATGAAGCATCACAAGATAAGCAGCAGAGGTGCATGTGATTGATGATCAAGTTGGAAGCTACTTTACCATCGTAGACACTTTGGTTTATTTCGTTATTTCATCGTGAATATTTTGAGACTGAAACAATTTTAATTTTCTCAATCCAACATTCACAAGTTTTCGTAGCTCAGCATTGCTATGTTGTAAGATAGGAAGGTAGGGAACAGAGCAACATTGCACAGCATTACATTAATTTTTTCAGAGTTAAATAAAATAGTTACAAAACCAAGAATCAAATTGAAATTCTTCCTTTGTCGCTCAAAATGCCCTGAAGTACACTTTTCAGAGCCCTTAAGATAATATTATTTCCCGACAGAAACCCCCGGGATTTCTCAATGGCCCCCCATACCCCTCCCTACGCTATACGAAAAGCGCTCCTTTCGGGCCTTCTTGATTAAACCAGGCTTAATATTAATAATATATGTATGAAATAAATAGTTTACGTACTTTTCTATGTTCTCCTGAACCCATTCTAACGCCTTTACTTGATCCAAAAGCCCAAAATTTCCTGGTAGATCTTCTGTTCCCGTAGACAAAAACCCCAGCACACCGATTCGATAGTTGAACGTTACGACTAAAACTTCACCCTCAGTTGCCAGATACCCACCATAGTACATTTTATACGCTGAAGTACCGCACTGAAATGCTCCTCCGTATATCCATACCATAACTCGCCACAGCGAAACACCTCGTGTTTCGCGGGGAACAAAGACATTCACTGAGAGACAATCCTCTTCGATCTTTGTTGAATTGTTTAATAATATGCTTGGCAGCTGTGGACACGAAGCACCGTACGAAGTAGCGTTTTTTATTGTTTCCCATCGCTTTGGCGATTCAGGGGCCTCAAATCGCTTGGCCCGGGCAAACGGTATTCCAAGGTACTGAATGACTGTTTTGCTTGTATTCAAAGGGATGACTTTTCCACGAACTGGGCCATTTGTTGTGTTCACGACGAACTCCGCGTCTAAAGCGGAGACTAATGAAACTGAAGCTAATAATAAACTTATCGTCCCAAGGGCAATAGCAATGGTGTGATACATGTCCTTCGAAAATAAGGATGAAATATTATTATCAAGCAAAGAAGTTTATCGTTTGCACGTATCAGCCCCGACTTGTGATGATCCAATATCGCGATGTCGCGGCGTGAAATTGGCGGGAGAATGGGCCTTGAGGAACCGGAAGCTAGAGCAAACCAGTTAAAGAAAAATAAATAGGTCTAAACTGAAAGGCACGCGGACCAACGAACTTTAAAAGAAAACGGTCGTTCTCGGAACAGCTGTTTCAGTTAATGCTTTCTTTCTTCTCAGACTGCCGTCGGCTTCATAGCAGGTTGCCATGTTCGGGGAAATATGTACCGGGTACCGGTCAAAGCAGGGTATACTTGAAAGATGGGTGGGTCTTCGAATACACTGTATCGGACTCATGAAAGTTGATCGTAGAGTACCACCCGGAGGCTCCCCACTCCCTCCAGAACTGTATATGCTTGCTGGAATATACTGTACCCTTTTCTGCCCTATAAATGTTAAAAAGCCTTGTAATATGAGGTAATCAGACCTTTACACTCGCCACAAGTCCACTAGCGACATATTTAAGTCTCCCGATTTCCAGCAAACCTAGCCTGAATTTCATCCGATTTATTTCGACTCGTTATTACTCTCTCAGTTGCTGAAAGGAGAAAACGACTCGAAGCAATCGGATGAAATGCAGGCTACACAAAACCAGCAAAAACCGGAAACGGGCTTTGAGAAAATCCCTTTTACTATGCAATTCATGCGCTGGGCTACCCTGCTGGCAGAGTCCCTTCAACTTTTTCTAGATAAGTCTTGGGAGATCCTAGACTCTGTTCTCCCGTTCAGTCACTAAGGGTCGCCAGCCTGCAGAACAGGCTCGGTTTGTTGTCGTTTTTTGTTTTTTTTTTTGCGTCTTTCGGGCGAAGTTAGTAAGAAGCGGGCGTCGCTCATACTCCGCTTTCACTTCGCGCTTGCACTCGCTCACTTGTATAAAAACGCCGCGGAAAAAACTAGCGCCTGTTTTGCTAGCTGTTTTGCCACAAATACTGAAATTTCACGTAGTCCCTATAACGTCCACACGTTGTTGAAGTTCCTCCTCCTGGTTTGCACAATCACATTTAACATTGACTCATTCACACGTACTCTATGCGCACTGAAGCATTTTTCTGACCGGGAAAATCAAAAAGACCCTTCAGTTTGTTAATGGACAACTTTTATTATACCAAAAGGCCGCGACACTTAACAAACGACCAGGTAAAATACAGGTAATAAGATAAAAATCATCCCTATGTCCCTAGATTATAAGCCAGCCCATGATACGCACTTTCCTTATTTAGGACAAACGAAGAAGCGAAATGCATTTTAGATTTTTACTACAAGCGGTCGCCCAGTCTGATCTGCCACACAGCCGTTTTTAGTGTCGTCATGCAAGGAGCGTTACGTGACGACACCATAAACGGGTGTGTAACATACCAGGGCGAGGGGTCGCATTGAGTTTTGTGACATTTATTAATTGTAGGACGACATAGATAAATTGCAGTAAAACAGTTCAAACTTAACAACCAACCAGTTAAAATCTAAAATCACTTTTAAAGTGTCCAAAAAGGTCCTTCGACCTCGACAGGGGTTCCAGTAGCCTGTTCCAGGCTCTCAGATAGTGGGGAAGACGCGAAAGTGAAAGGTAAGCGAAAAGTTAGTTTCCATGTTCGCGCTCTCTCAATTCAGCGGACTTCACTATCTCGGAGCCTGGAAATGGGATCAAATCTAGTGACCAGGCTTTCAGAACCGGATGAGTTCAAAGTCATTGTAGCCTAAACTCCCTTTCCCTTCCTTTCAAACCCTTGCCACGTAGGTTTAGGTCATTGTGAAGGCCGTGTTTAATGAAGATGACACATACGTCACACTTAGCTAATGGGAGGGATCCCCAGTTTTGCTAAGCTTCTCTGATACTTTCTACTTCAGTTGTATGGATATCCCGGTAAATTGCTTCACGTCCTTATGCATGGCAATGAAAATAACAATCAAATGATTTACTGATACCTGTTTCGCAAAATTTGGACGGATCACTTGTGTTTACCGTTCAAAAACAAAGTTAAAAAAAATCATATTTATCTTATAAAATCTAAATCATACACTAAAATACAAAGTAAATTGTTTTAAAAAGTCATATCAATATATTCTTGTACACGAGAGTCTTACATTAAGGCTGGGCAAAACAAGGGGTAATTTTGCAAGGACATAATTTATTCTAGGATAGCCCCCATTAAGTGGCGCGAAGCGCGGCGTAATTCTAGAGATAGACGTAGGGGTTATAGTCTCCTTACAGGGAATTTGAATTTGTCCTCACTACATGTCGCACGAAGTTCAACTTGATGAACATCATGGGGCATGTCGCGGAGACATGTGAGATTGTAGAGTACTTCCCTGTAAAGAAATCAATAGTTTATCCATCCAGAGACAAGGACCAAAACTCCATGCGTGGTAACACTGGGACGAACAGCAACAACAACTTTCGCCTCTGCCGGCAGACATTGTGATTTCTCCCTGGCTAAATGTCCCCTATAATCGTCCCTGATCTACAATGTCATGTGTGTTCAGCACGTGATTTTATCGTGGTTACACGTTGCTACGACGTACATGTACCCCAGCGAAAAAACCCGGCACTTGTCACTGTCAAACTAGTTACGAAGAGGGATCATACCCTAATAATTCATGTATTGCCTCCACGAGAGGCAGGCGCAACAGCATTTTAAATGGCAACTTTAAGATAACGATTTTCTAAAAGAACTTTCATCCTCAAATTAGCTCAGATTCCTTGGCCCTTGATCTGAAACAAACGAAAAATGAATCGTTTTAGTCACAGTTGAACCTCGATTGTCCGGACGCAAAATAAAAGGGACAGAGCGGGCTCGTATTATTAAAAGTAGATTTGCGCTATGAGCAGTTTGAGGGTATGATTATTTCTTTCACTCATCCCAATAGAGGCCAAAATTAAAATACAACGAAATTTCCGCAAATCTAACTTTATATCGTTACATCTAACACAACTATTACTCGGCACAAAATCACTTTCATTGCATTACTTAAAAAACCCTGTTTTTCGGCGATAAGAACAACATGAACGTATATCTCATTCGGGCTTGCCAATTATTGATGGCGAAGATGCAGTTAATTCACAAACCAACGGTATGATGTTTTGCGAAGTGCGAGGCATGACCAAGTTTATTTTCTTAACATAGTAACATAACAAATTCGGGAGAAATGTCAGTACTGAAAATCAAACACTTCTTTAGTTTTTGTTTAATACTTACTACTCTGCTACGGCCACGGGCGCTGGTGCAGCCTCTGTGAAGGGAAAAACAAAGAAACAAACGAAGAAAAAATATTAATCAAATATCACTGGTCGTAATTACCAGAACTCAGATGAGCAATACTTGGCACGGTTTTCACTGTGGTGGGATACGCAAAAACCAAAGAAATTACTCTAGCCAATGAGAGTGAGAAGACAAGCCAAAAAACCAATAAGAATTCAGAGGAAACAATTGCAGAAGGCAAACTGAAAGGGCAATATTTAAAGCCACTGCACTCACAGAGCGTGACAACACAAAAACAAACAATAACAAAAAAAGTTGAAACACTCTAAGATTGACAACTGTTTTAGTGATACATAATAATATTGAAGGGCGTTTTGAGAACTACATTTTGCTGTGTTCTTATATCCGCTGGCGAGCGAGCGCGTTTAAAAATCACCACCCAAGACGAAGATGACACGAGTCTTGCCTCTCCTCGCGCGCCGCGACTTTCACGCGGGAATTTCGCTCGCTTCGCAACTATCCCTAAGGATATGAGACACTAGCCGCAGCCTAATAGAACACAACAGTGAAGTCTACCTGTCTGCTCAACAACAGGTTTCTCTTCATCTTTCTTTTCTTCTCCGTTTTCTTCTTCTACTCTAGGTATTGCCTTCAATGGTTCTGATCTGCGGTTACCTAAGTTTTGAACACAGCAACATAAACAAGTGAGCAACCGAGAGATATTCAAGCTCGCTGGGACTACGAATTATGAAACTAGAATTTTTCTAGTTTTGTTCTGGAGACTTACCTTCAAGAACTTTCGACGAAAATCGCTCGCTTGACACTCGTTTGAAGTCTGGCTGAGCCCGGTTCACTTCCTTGCTGTGACGGGCCTGGTGTTGAGTTCGCCCACTGAAGAAAACAAAACACACACAAAAAAAAGGCTTAGCTTAGCTAAGCTTAAATCACAGCCAATATCGACAAACCATCAGTGAAAACTGGTCAACGAAACGACTTATAACACGTTAGCGAAACAATCCAAAACTTCAGCGAACAGGAGGTCGGCGAAACGACTCGTTGGCGAAACGGCCGGTCACCAATCAGTTAGTATTGGTAATAGCATGATTAGTAGTGATATTTGGCATAAATACCACGAGTGATATTTCAAACTTGTTATACGTAATTTCACGAGCCGTTAGGCAAGTGCCGGGGGCAAGTGAAATTTGAGACAATTTTGAAATATCACGAGTGGTATTTATGCCAAATATCAAGTACAAATCATGCTATTATTTGTTTATACTACTACCCGGAAAAGGTTTGTAATTTTCACATGTAGGTATTTCAAATTAAGCTGAAATACCACTGCTCTAAGCCAATCAAATTGCAGAAATTTCTTATGTAGTAGTATAAACCGGGTATTAACATGGCTGTGTAACAGCTTTTACGGTTCTTAGGACTCTCTCTCCAAGACTAACTTAAGTTAGGGCCCAACACTGCATGTTGTACATAAGCATAAAAACCTCCCATATCAAAAGACGATTTTTTTACGTCAGAAAAAAAAACACCACTAGCTCAGTCATTGATTTTCGTTTTGTTTTGTTTCGGAAAAGTTGGACATAAGAATTACTATTTCAACCTCAAAAAAATACATTACTACTGGAACATCAAGAATTTTAGGAAACGTTTTAGAGTTATAGAGGAAGGGGGTGAACTCGAAGTGGCCTTTTAGTAGTCATGGGTTATGACTCGCTCCCTTAGCAAATAAATCGGTAAGAGATCAGCCAGCACACAAAGCAAGAAATAATAATAATAATCACAACAACAACGACAACAACACCAACAACAATATTTTTTTTCGAACCTGTATCTAAACTTGGAGCCAAGTTTGATGAATCCAACATCTTTGGGTGGCAGATCAGCCTGTGAAAGTCTGAAGAATGAATGGTGTTCCACTCCAACTTTCCAGAGTCTTTTTGTTGCCCTTAAGCTTGCGAGTTTAAAACTTAGTACTGTCCCTCCGTAATAATCGTTCTGTGGAATTAGCATCAGATACATGTTGCACATATACTATCAGATGCCGCCTTAATAAAGGGTAAAGTGAATAGAGGGCCCTTTTGCTAAGTCAGTAGCTCGAACGAAAGTTGAAATGACACTGAAAAATACCTACACTAGAACACAATACCTAACCGACAATGGTTTCAGAAAAACCAAGAAACACCAAAAAGCGTCATTTCACTTACAAAACTGAGGCCTACGATGCGCTTATTTTACATGTATCTCTCCATCACTGCTCAACCCATTACTTTAGAGCTACTTAAACGCACATGTACACAGAAAGTTAAAACAAGATTTTCAGGCCACACATGGAAATTGAACTCTGGACTTGCAGCAAAGGAGGCCACATACTAAAAAACTGCACCAATCCTTGCATCTAAAAGCCTTAATAATAATTATGTGAATAGCACATGATTGATGATTTTGACAAATTTGTGAAGGAAATGTTAGGAGAGCAGTGGTGTAAAAGAGAGGGGGATGGGTCAACAATTATTTTCTTGTTACAAAATGAGGAGGACTCATGGGGATTAACAGTTTCTCTCTCCAAGGCATTCACCATTAAGACTAAGTGTCTGTCCCAAAGAATTGTACAACTTAGACAAAATAATAAAAATATAAATCAACCAACTAAAATGACTGACGATAAGCAGGGATTAACTCTAAGTCCATCTGGGATCATTATGTACATTTCTGGGTAACTGCCCACCTACCCCTCCCCTAAGCCAACATTTTGCCCTAAGCGAGAAGTAAGTGTTAATATTGGCTTAGGGGAGGGGTAGGTGGGTAGTTTCCCAGAAACATATAATAATCCCATATTTGGCCATTTTTATGAGGTTTCCGTTACTGCGAGAGTTGGCGCCGCGGGGAGTGGGGTGAGAACAACTTATACTGTTGTAAATAAGAGCTCTAACCTCACTTGCTGGCCTGATTGACAACGTAAACTTCTTCTTTTTAAAGGCGATTTTCACTATTTTGGGCCTGTTGAAGAAAATAAACACTGCAGTTGAGTGAACAAAACAGTTGGAACATCAAGTGATGCATAATTAATTAACTGACAGGTCAAAATCAAATTCAGGTTAAAATTGTTTTACCAAGGTTGATTCTCAATTTCCTTTGTCTCATAGCCCAGATTATTCACGAATTAGGGCTAGGAGACAAAGAAAATTGACATTAAAATTTTTTAACCTAAATTTAATATTGACCTGTCACACATAAATTATAGTGATAGCGGGCTTGTAAGTTTAATTTGCTACATGTAATCTATGCAAAATAATAGCTTAGCACTGAATGCTGAATGCTTTGCTTGTTTCCAGAGTGTATGGCTAGTATTTTTAGTAAACTAAACAACAACAACAAAAAAAATAACAACGACAACAACTGACGAGGTTTGTATCTTGTACTGGAATAATATTTTTCGTACTTTGATTAACTCTGCCTTTCAATAACACGCAAACTTAAATAAAAGTCAAAAATTTAACCAGCAGAACTTTGTGTTTTTTGCTTCCACCAACCATAATTGCCACAAAACGGAATAAAATGGATCAAAATCCACTAATTACAACCAACAGATGTGAACCCACTGAAGGAACCTATGTTTCCTGAGAAGTCTGTTAGGGCGATTTACAGAAGCGAAAAACATACACATTAGTTACATTTTTTACTTAAGAGTTTACATCTTATTGAAAAGTGAAGTAACATACCATACAAACTTGTTGATCAATCGACTGTTGTGAAAGATATGAATTCCCCAAGCTGACACTCCTATGATTACATTCTGTCCTTCTGCATCCTAAAAACAAACAAATCAAAGTCAAATGAAAGAGTGAGTTTCTTCCATGTTACAGGAATATGTGGATATCCCATAGAGTGCTTTGATCAGTTTCGTGTACCAGTAATCCGAAAATAAATACTGTCAACTGGCTACATGGACTATTCAGAGCTTTAAAACAGAGCCACCTTGTTTGTCAAATGTATCAACAACATTCACTTAACCCTTTTAGTCCCAATGGTGACCAACATCAATTTTCTCCCAACAATAATTTATTCACACCTTGTCAAGAGATAAGGTTATGAGAATTTATGAAATGATTGCTAAACAGAAAATGCTTTGATCTGCTATCAAATTCTCTCCACTAACTCTGTTAGGAAATGTATGTAGATCAGTTTGGAGAATTTGTATATGGATATTGGGGCTTAGAGGGTTAAGTCAAAAAAGGGGGAGTACTTTCATCTACACATAATAAAATGGTTGGGTCTCCACCATACATCTTGTGATGGTGGTTTCTATTATGACAGCTGCTGCTCATTATATTTTTTAGCTTCCAAGAAGCCAAAGGTATCAAAATAAGACTGTACACACCACAGCTGTATGCAGGTCAACTCCATAAAGTGGAAGCTTCCTAGCATTGTCCAAATACTGCAGCTCCGCATCCTCAGGTGTCATTCCCCTAAGGAAATTGTGAACCAAAGTGCAAAAAAAAATTTACTTTAGGTTTTAGCAAGACCATACTAATTGAGGACACTAATATTTTACATCCACTACTGGATCGGAGACAACGCATTTTTTGCGCTTCAGCTAAGCCATGTAAAGATCTCATCCCCCACTTGACCTCATTTCTATCCTCACTTCTCAGTTCTTTTAAGGCCCTCAGTATCAGTCAGGCCCCGAGAATCGAACCCTGTGATATCAGGCTCTGTGGTCAAGCGCTGTATTGACAGAACTCATATTTCTATTAGTGGTGTAACGATTAATCGAATTCTCGATTAATCATGATCATGATCATTCGGTTCGATTCACAATTCTTTGCTTCCACGTTTAGATTTTGGTTCAATTTCAGCACACCTTTTCCAGGGTGCCCTTAGTGAGTTATTATATTGTAAAATCGGAATCCAGAACACTTTAAATTGTGGGTTTATGATTGACTAGTAAAGACAATAGCATTTTGTGCGCCATTTTGTGTTGCCTGGTAAAAATGCTGTCCTTCAACCACCCCTTGAGAATTTCCAAATAAGGCAAACTATGTGTGACACGCTCTTTGTCAGGTTCTCAACCATGGCGACAAACCAAGCGACTGTGAATCCTCCTATCCCTGCTACTATTCTCAAATTGAGGATTTAGGGTTGCATGTTGTTTACATTACCCGTTATGTTATAAGAATAAAGAAACATTCACACAATTGAATCAAAATAATAGAAATCGAAAGGTACTAATCGAAATTGAATCGAACCGCAAGGAATATGAATCGTTACACCCCTAATTCCTATACCGATTAGAGTAAGCAGTAGCTGCACATTATTAACCTACACACTGTAGGTGCTAATTTACCTGTGTTTTTTGTGAAACTCATGTACCTTCTGAAGCATCTCATTAGGCTGGAAAAAAAACAAACAAACAAACAAAACATCAATAACCACACTTCAAAGCAGCAGTGTACAGTAAGTACCAAAGCTACAGTACCACTCAAAAGAAAGTTACCACCCTCTTGCGAGACGCGAATCACGTCGCACGTTACGCGATTCCAGTAGCACAGGACGCAATTTTCCTAGTGCGTGACGGCCTAAAAACAGTAAGTACATTAACTTTGTGTCATGGCCACAATTCTTCAGCGATTTCAAGAATTGATGGTAAAGCTTTACTGTGACTAACATGCGAACACAGTTTTACCTCTGCGACGTGTAGATAGATATTAAAATTCGCTTTCTGGTTCGATGATTCTTGTGCTATGGGATTCTCGTCACACAGGAAACGAGACGCGACTGTTAACTTACTTTTGAGCAGTACTGTACAGTCAGAGTAAAAGCCACAGAGCAGCATTGTTTATAGTTTTTAACTGCACTTGGCTGTGTACAATCTAATGCTCTGCATTAAGCAAATCATTGTTAAGTAATTATTACTTGTTTGCTCATTGATAAGTACATTAAGTAACCCATGGAAGGCATCACAGTATAAACAATTAAACTTTAAAAATTAAAGAGCTCACTAACTCAAGAAAATTGTGCACTTTACAGGTTTTTGGAAGCAACATCAAAGAAAATAGCAGCCATCAAAGACTGCAAAATTGCCAGGTGGTGAAAAACGTTAATAATTGAGTTTTTAGAAACGAGAATTTCTCTGAAATTGTTCAGTACTTTGGGTTTATGTAACATGGTTATGCTCTATCATTATTCAGAGATGTTGTGTTATTAAATTATATATGTACATGTAGCAAAGGCCATGTAAATAGGGCAAGGAATGTTTACAAAAGAAAGATTTGTCTATAGGGCCCCAGTGTGCTGAACCACACTGTACTGTTTGTAACCTCCCATCTACACAATAATTAACTTTACTAAAGATTATTACACATACATTACAGTAGAGGAAGGCTCAGCAACTACACTATACATGTTATATAATATTAATTAATATTTACTGATCGCATTAATCCTGTTACTCTAACATTGTATGTACTTGGGTTAATAAAATATTTAACATACCGAGAACAGAACTTAACAATCTACCTGTTTGGGACAGAACTTAAAGTCTGAGAGATAACGTGCATCTTCTCCATGATCTTCGGGTTCATAGTCTCCCATTTCAGCTATTGTTTAGGGTGGGTAAAAGAAGAAGAAAACAAAAATGTGTTGAAATGCTGGTTTTAACTAGCGACAGTGCCAGAAGTGAAGTTGCTAGAACACAAGGCTCCCTGTGTTTTAAATGAATTTTAGCATCAACAGCATGGGAGTGAATGACATTGGTAAATCTACCTTGTACAACAAATGAGCCAAGCAGAGCATGGATTGGAACAGAACACTGCAACCTGAGAATGCGAAACATAAAATATCCAGTTAACTAATTAATTAATTATTTATTTATTTATTTTATTATTTTATTAATTATTTTGTGTAGAATAATAATTATTCCAGGGCCTGGAATACCAGAGAAATTTAAGGACTTTTCAAGACTGTGCCAACCCTGATATATCACAAATTTTGTTAAAGTTATGATTAATATTACTGGCACCTTAGAACAGAACTTTGTATCGTCCACTTCAGTCTGTAATCATACTCATCATTAAGCAAATCAGACTCCCACTATGCTGTCGTCCAATTTTACAATCACTCATATGATTACAGACTGAATTGGAATCCACTCAGCACTGTTGCCATTACGAACACAGCTTATGTGTACTTATTTTATTCAATACGGAACTGGTTTTCTCACCTTCCCTTGAGAAGATCTTCCCTCAATTGCAATACCATTAGGTACCTAAAGAATGCAAGTTAATAGTAACATTATTAAAGACAATTTTTTGGGCCTTTTTAGCAAATACATGTACATGTTACCCATTATTAAAAAAAAATTACCCATTGACAGTACATGTACAAATAATATTATTTTAATTAGAAATTTTGAAAATAAGCCACAGAGCAAGATAGTCTCAAACTGAAAGTGTACTGTAAATTTTACATACTAGCAGCATACTGTGTCCTGCGTCCTTGACACATAAAAATTCTCAAGGACGCAAAAAAAAATTGATGACTTGTGTCCTCTAGGATACAACAATTGATGGATCTAAAAAATGTTTTCAAAAAATGCCCTATTTGCGCGATATGAAATATGTGTTGAAAGCTCTAGCTACCTCCAAACAAAAGAGTAATTTTGTCCACTCATTAAACAGGTTAAGAATAATTTCTGAACAAATAGACACAAATATTTCCATGCAGCATTTTTTTGTTAAAAGTGGCCGTGCTTATTTTATCTTTGCCATGGAAAGCATGTTGCTAAACCAAGATGGCAGACAGTGGTTGGCAATACGGCAAGGCTTTATTCTAAATGATTGTATAAAGCTGTAGGGATTGTTAACATTAAAAAGAATTAGAAACAAGAATATTTTTTTTTTTGTCAAGAAGACTGTAATAATTATTTAATTTCAATACACTGTAATGTACATCAGGGGCACCCAACAACGGTTTTCCTCCCACAATATACACTGAAAACACTTTTTAGGCTATCCAGAGTACTTTTTGATGGGCACTATGAAATTTGTATTGTTCGGTCACCCTAGGGCAACTTGAGTCTGTTCAAAATAATTTTTTATTAGGACTCTAGTATTACTTTCCCAAACATTTTAGATGCAAAAAATTAATGTTTTACAAAAGTGAGAATTTTTCTAATTCCTCTCTCATCTGAACAAAATTAATTTTCAGGTTTCCTTTTGGCTACGCAAAATAGCCTCACCTGGGGAGTAAAATGTGAAAAATTAAACTTCAGAAAATCATAGGGAATTTATTAGATAAGCTTTGAATATTGTACATTAATGGAACACTCATATGAAAATTTTTTGCCATCCTCAAGTAACAGAAAATTCTAGGCAATATTTGCCTCTCCAAACAGATATTTTACAGAAAACAGTCGTTGGGTGCCCCTGATGTATTACAGGGATAAGTGCTTTGCTATTGAGAGTAGACTACAGATTAAGTGTGATTGTCTGGTTTTATGAGAGTTCTGGCATCTTTCAATATAGTTAGGCCTCATTGGATTTTGAACTGGGGCTCATGATTTTTCATGACATGAGATGAGTCCCAGGACTCACTATTAGCAAATTGTAACAAAATCACTGCTAAAGTATACTTCTACAATTTTTTATTACAGAGTGAAATTGATCAAAATATTAATATTATTTTTTTCAGTGTCCATCCTTCTTCTGTTTTTTTTTTTCTAACTGACAATAATATGCAATTTATGAAAATAGAGGACGCAGGTATATTAATTTTAAATTAATGATTATTGTTAATTAAGTAATTATTTTGTCTTGGTAATAAAGCTACATTTGTACCTTGTGATATCTTCAACAAGTGCTGTTGGGTTTGGAGGGTAAAACTTGACAGCAAAGTAGAAATGATAAGGCTCTGTTGAGAAACAAAGGATTTGTTTTGATCTACAGCATTGTACATGTAAAGCTATATCATTGGTGTGAACAAGTTTTGAACAAAGTTGAATTTTGAATTAGTTCATCAAGTACATGTATGTGAGGATGCTAAATGCCCCAGGTTGAGTCTTGGTAATTTGATAAA